CTTACTGTATTCGTTGTGTGACATTTTGATAAGCCGGCTATCCATGGTTGAGCCCCTTTCAAAAGTGACAAATCAAGTGGATCAAGTGGATCAAGCGGATCGTGCAAAACTGCGAATCAAAAAGGCCTGGAGTTCGGCATCTTCACGACGGATTGGGAGTCCTCTAGACTCCTGCAATCCAGACAGGCACCGGATTCTAATCCATTCCGTATATTCTCGATTCTCTCATTTAAGGTTCTAGGTTCTAGGTTGTGTTCTAACAATGCATATACATATACTGAATCATGTGTATACGTAAAATGGTCGCAACACTAGAATCCGGTAGAATCCACAGACAAAGATTGCATCCAAGACCCGCGTCTCAAACGTCTCAACATGCCAGGCTCACAGCTCGTCTTCTCCAAACTTCACAATCGCCGTGTTTGCGCACCAAAGCCTAGCAGTCAGTCCATCAGTCTCAACATAGCTCTCAGCATAGGTCTTAGCATAGGTCTCAGCATGTGCATTTAGCCACATCCAAATCTTCCGTGGTCTTCGCATTATGTCAGACTTTTGCTGGACCTCGCGCCACTCCGCAGCTGTTTGCTGAAGAAGTACGTAGCGCTGCCTGACCTGACCAACTTTGCCGGTTTGACAAGCACATGACGACATCAAAGTGTTCAAAAGAGAGTCAGACTTTGATCACGGGAAAAATCAAACAGAAACATAACAACGCTGCACAGAGAATCGTCAAAAGGATGATTCTCTACGCTTTTGCATCTGCTCTTGTATCCTTGTTTTTCATTTTTGTCATTGTTTTCCATTAAAGTTCCCCTGCGGCATGTTGTGTCCCTCCAGCTTCCTACATTGGCAAGTTGTCACCTTCTGTCAGAGGCGTAAACTCTCAAACCCCATCCCCAGTTTTCTTTCGACACTTTGCTTTGCCTTCCATTTTTGGCTTCACTTCTGGGTCTTATTTGAAACCTTCTGGACTTTCAGTCAAGCTTTTTATCCTTCTGACCCTTCTGGTTTTTCTATGTTTTTCTTCATGCCAAGATTTCCTGGTCTGTGGTCTTCTTGTTCCATTGAAAAAAGCGCGGCTAGGCTCGCTGGCCAAGCTTGCCATGACTGTGGCTCCGTGCGGCTTGCCACTCTGCCTCTCGCGCAGGGGCACCAGCCTGGAAGGCAAGCACTAGCACGTATAGCACGTGAAGTGACACAAAAGTACAGAGCCAAGAGATCCAGAAGTATCATGATCACCTCACCCTCACTACGTAGCTGACAAAACACTAAACAGCTCAGTTCCCATCCATTTGGGAACCCTTTTGGCCGCTCGCTACCAAAAGACTTGCTGTGCGAGCTGCACGAAAAGCTTTGTGAATGCCCGGATGGCAGAGAAACTATGTACACTAAACTAAACATTCGGAGATGCCACTAAAAGCAGCAGGAAGAAGGGACTCTGAGCTGAAGTAGTGGCCAACCACGCAACTCTGCTAGTGCCTGTGTTTTCTGGGTTCCCTCACCCTTCTTGATCTGAAGACTCTTGGTTGTCATCGCGTCTTGCCAACAGGATAACATGTCGTCCATCGCTGCCCTGAAATGTGCCTTGAAAAGGAAAGCCAAGCGCACGCAGCATGGCCAACATACGCTGACGCCTCACATGAGGCCGATCTTCCTCATCTTCCTCTGAGTCCGAAAAATCTGTCGTACTTTGGCTGGTTTGGCTGGTTTGGCTGGTTTGGCTGGTTTGGCTGGTTTGGCTGTCCTGGGTACTCTCCTGAGTATTTGAGGCATCATTGTGAGCATCGTTGCCATCATTGGACTCTTTCTTGTCTGCCTTGTTCTCTGTGCGCAGCTTGTAGTAGTCAGGGCGGGTTGGGAACTCCTGGCCGTCCAGGCTGAAATACAGCTCAGCACGGGCAGCTGTCGAGCTTTCGGGTTCCAACCACACTGACGAGATTCGACGTCCCCAAGCTGTCGTGGAAACGTGCTCTCTGGCCACACCCAGCCCAACCAATTCGTCAACCACGGATAGTGCTCTCCGCCTTGCAGTGCTTGTAGCAATTCCACGTGGTGCACCGGCACCGGCATGCGCATCCACATGGAATTTAAGTCTTGGATGTTGCTGTGCAAAAAGTGCAGCTGCATGGATCAGCTTTTTGGTCTCCTCAAGCAGACTCAATCCACCACCATATTCGAAGTACAAGTGGTTGCTGCTGTCTGACGCACACACGTCCATCACCTTCAATCCAACCGCAAGCTGCTCCAAATTGACACATCCTTTGGCCCATGGTATTCCATGATCACAGAAATCTTGAGCTCGGCGTTCCGCAAATCTGCGAGAGAAGATCAGCTGTCGTAGGTTGAGATCGGCAATTCCAAGCCTGAGTCTTGTTGGTGGAGGCAGGTATGCATCAAATGAAGTATGAATGCTGCTGCATCAAATAAAGTATTCATCATTCAAAGAGGCCAAGAAACCGGGCCAGAAGGGCTGGGTTGCAACAAGCTGCTCCCATAGCATCTGCAACATCTGGCAAAGCAAAGCACACTGCAGCAAGGCCTGCTCAGTTCCACACCAGGAGCATCAGCAAGAGGAATTGGGGGCAAGCCGCTAAAGCTATTGGATACTCTTGGTAGTAAAGAATTGTGGAGGAAAATAGAAACTGGCCTAACCAGCAGTCTACATCAAGGATGAGAAGATAGAGGAGTGCACATGCTCATTCGGGGATGCTTGGCACAGCTGACAATCACTGAAGTCCAATTCTAGAAAGCTTCAATGCTGACTCAACAGCTGAATCAAACAGTTCATAACAGTTCATTCCTCATGTTTCTCTAAGATCCTTCAAGTTTTGTTTCATGTTTGACCTCGGGCCTGAGGTGGAATCTCGACACCCAAACTTCTCTGTTTGATCGGGAGCCAACGAGGCTTCCTTTGAAGGGTATCCAGCGGAGCTCTGCACACCAGCCATTGGGAACTAAACAAAGGAGCACTTCGTGGTATTCTCAGCAGAACAACACAAGCTGCTGCTTGATGTGATTCAGTACATTCTCAACACATTCAATCACGTGCCATAATTCAAGATCCTATTGCAATCTGGCTTTGAGGGCGCAATGCCTGCGGGAGCACATCAAATTCAAGTCTGTTTTTCTGGCAATTTCTGGCAATATCAACACTATTCTATACTCTCAACATCTCTCAACTCAGCTTCCAATATCTTCCAATGAAATGGCAGTGTGTCAAAACCAATAGTACCCCTTCTGTTCACATCAAACTAGCTGGGATTTATGGATGTTCATCCGATTTCATCCCCCTAAAAATGGTATTTCTCTAGGTATTGATCCATAGCCAAATGAATTGAACACCTCAGATTTCAACACCTCGGCAGCTCGAAGAGCTTCCAAGCGGACCGCAAGCTCCAAGGCCTCTCTGATCGCGTTGTTTGGTGCTGTCCGACGTGCTGTTCAATCAATGTTAACCTTTGTTATCTTTGTTGGTTTTCCATGGTTTTTCCGGAGTTATCCTATTTTTATTTAGTGAAATCCGTTAAATCCATTTAAATCCTAATTGTTGATTAATTTTTGTTGGCTAAATTCATCATGGCCGCAATCCACTCTTTGCTGTGCTCCGGAGTCATCGGAGTCTTGCCTCCTGGCGAGCTTCGCCATGTTTCTTGGCCAAGCGGGCGTTTTCTCTCTGCCTACAGGCGGCATGACCTCTATGGGGTGCTAATGGTTTTTCCTTCAACCAACCGGCCCTGCCTGAGGCAGATTTCTCGGACAGCATCCTGAAAGCTTCTGGGGCGTGCAGCATAGTGACATCATCATTCATCATGTAACTCTACTTCGACTGCCTGATGCTCCCGCACATAGACATCTGCCTGATATCGTGCGGGCCAAAGGCCAAAGAAAAGCATTACTGACAAGCTGCTCATTCTATCTGCCTTTGCCTGTAATACCTGTAATCTCTGTTCTTTTTGAGGAAACCCTCGTGACGTGAAACAAGGAGAGACCGGGGGCCTGCCATCGCGCCGCGCTCAACGACGATCTCAGCTGATCAATCTCCTGAGTTTTCCGTGGTAAACGTAAACCCAGAACTATTAGTCACCTCCAATCACATACCTGAAACGGGTCCTACAACTGTATACAGACACTGTTACACCATCCAAAATTGGAGGTTCTTGTTAGGTTTGCCTCAAGAATCTATGTATATTCCGCAGCTAATGGCAATGGCTTGCCCTCTGATCCCTCCTCCGTGCTGACCCTTCTCAGCTCGTCGATCTGCCCAGGAACAGCAGAGAAAAAATTCCAAAATTGCCTGACCTACAGGGAACCTGCACGTCAACTCCACTTATGAGATTCGGAACATGTTTGACTTCAGACTTATGCTCTCAATTGAAATCTTTCTCCAGCCTTCGCTAATATAGTGGCAATACGAAAACCCCTGTTTGGTCAACTATGACTATGATTTTGTAATAGAACTCTACTTGAACAGCTTCACGCATAGTGAAAGGAAAGCTTCGTCGAACGCTGCCTGTTCAGTCTTGGAGCACTCGAGTTCAGCGATCTGGCAGGTCAGAAGCTCCGAAAGCAGACTGAGCATCCAATAAGTGAATGTCCATGAGCCTTCAAAACTGCAGGCTCTAAACCATTCTAAACCTTTCAGAAAATGGACCATGCCAAAGGGATCCAAAGGGTGCCAAATAGATGAGCCATTCAGATCCTGTCTGGCAACTTGAAACAGTAGTCTTTGGAAAGTGGCCACCTGTTCCAGACCAAAAAGAGGTTGTTCGACACGCGTGCCTTCACAGCATGTTCGCATCGTAACTCTTCCAGCTCCTCACAAGTACAACTAGAACTTCAAGACACTTTCACTGATTGCGCTGATTACACGAAGATTACACTGTTCTTCTCCTACTCTGGGACTCTTTCAACAACGAAGAAGTGAGATCTGATGCCAGTGAAGGCTGAGGAGTGGGCAAAGATGAGCAGTATTTGTGTTTTGTTGGGTTCGCTCAACTTTTATCTCCATGCCATCACTCAGTCTATCTCACTGATTTGCGAGTTCCACCATTGCCACTGTGCATCTTTGGCACTCTTCGTGGCTGCATCCATCACTTCCTGCTACAAAAGGCTGACTTGGTAGCAGACTTACAACTTCTCAGAAGCAAATGATTGATGTAGCAACGTCATGCAATGTCTGTGCAGCCTCTGTGTGTGTGTGCGCCGTATAAGGCATTATGGACACTTTTGAGACAAAAGGGTCGGCCTTGGGTTCCAGCAGAATGTGCTTCAAGCGCCGCAATGTCAGAGAAGTGCGCCGTGGTGCGCGGGGAATTTCTTCACCAGCCCTGACAATTTTCTCGCTGAGCGGATGATAGACTGAGTGCCTTCCACTCCCTCTCTTTGAGAGCATAGCGGTACTCTATGCTACATTGGACCACCAAAGTGTGTCCGGACATAGACAATCCATGTGACATTTGGTTTGATGTCCCATCCCACATCCCTCTTCCGTCCGCCTGGTGATGTCCACCTGTCAACACATCATAGAAACGGAAATGTGAATGAGTGCTGAAACAAGGAAAGTCATGAAAGTCTGACCATTGATGCCGGGTGAGGACTGTCCTTTTTCATCTTCGTCCCTGGCCTTCGCATGATCAATTCGATGAACGTAAAGTTCATAGGCTTCACCACTCATGACAAGAAGCGACCGAGGTTCAAGCAGCACCTGCGCAAGATTGACATTGCTTTGAAATAGATCTGCATGAAGCGCCAAAAAAAAAGTCACTGTTATCATGACTATCATACATTTCCATACATTTCCCACTTCCCAACAACGCAAGCTTTGTTCATCTTCTTACCCACCTCTAAGCGCTGCGGATGCAAAGGATAAGCCTGAACATATCCAACCCCAACAGTTTGAAGTGCTCAAAGCGTGTGGGCCGAGAAAAAGGGAAGAAATCGATGCCAATCGTGCCTTCTTTTCAACAAGCCCGAAATACATCAGCGCAGGCCCTTCTAAAGTGAGAATGGCCACTTCTGCCTTGAATCTGGGCCCATCACCTTATGTAGGGCACCCAAATCCCCACATCAAACAGCAGTGGGAACAGCAGTGGGAACAGGGGATCGATTCAGCTTTGCAACCGAAAAGAGCGGTAAGGGTTTCAAGGTTCTGTTTCCGTACTGGTTTTCGGGCTTGCAACCAAAGAAGCACCACTCCCAGCCCCAGAGATTCAAACCCAATGGGCACTGCTGTTGGGAATTTGGGGGATGGGGCCGGGGCTGTTGTTTTCAGTTCCTGTAGAATGCAACAGATCATTACATTACATCAAATCATATTGGTACAGGGACCCTTGGCACAACAAATCCTCCATCCTTTCAACAAGCTTTAGGACACTTTCACAGCAACACGAACTCACTGATAACATAGAGCCCCAAATGATCCCAAATGGATGCAACCTGTTGGCATCTACGCCACGTTGCTGTGGGCATCAATGCCCTGTCCAGGAAGGTAGCTGTTGATGAGGCACTGATTTGGCAAACCTCTGATAGGCACAGGCTGTTGCACAAGTACTTCAGCAACATGCAGCTCTTGCCTTCATGACATCGCATAGCCAACGAGTACTTTCGAAACAAATGAGCAAATGAGACACCAGCCTGATATTCCACCAGCTTGAGCCAGCGCATGCCCAATCTCATCGATTGCTGGAGGTAGGGCTTCGCAAATGGCACCATCAGGATGAGGCACACCTGCCGCACTCTCGTAAATCAGAGTGGATCGAGTGACACAGCTGTGCTCCTCTTGATTCTAGTGGATGCTAAATCGTGATGCAAGGGTAAAGCCTCCAAGGCAGAGCAGCCTGCGACTGGTGAGCTGCACCCAACGATCCTGACCGTCCAGGTTGCGGTAAAGAAACATGCGCGGACCCTTCAGAAGCAAACACTGGCGGAGGAATGACCTGCAGCGACTCCCCGTAGATGACAGACAGAAGTGCTCCCTGCCACCACAACAGACTGTGTGATTGAACACACCACTTGGTCTGCAAAGCAAATGCACCTCTGTTGCTGGAGGGATGTAATCCCGCACCAAAAACAGCGAAAGCTTTGGATGTACTCTGTGGAGCTCCCAAAGTGGTCTTAGGAATGCGCGTGTGGAAAACTCCTGATGGCTGTCAGATAGAGGGAAGTACCAGTCGCAACCCATCACATAAAGAGGACTTGCTTCGTTCATAAGTGGGGGTTGAAAGCAACCTGTCAGCTACAATTTCGGCAATCTGGTGTTTTTGGTACCTGCCATACCTTGCAGGTATTAGGTAAGGATTTGGTATCTATGCAAGCGGAACTGGCTGAATGTTTGAGGTCTTGCATATGTAACGTCCTGATATGACTTTCGCCAGAGGTTCTGTAGGTCAACGAAGTCTTCGTCATGCTTTGTCGGGGCCCAGGGCCTCAGATTGGGAAAAGAAACAACCAGAATTCTCCACTGAAAAATTCTGATTCAGAGATATTCAGAGAATTTGGGTTCCCAGACTTGCCCATGACATAGTGCAAAGCGATGCAATCGCTCAGATTGAGCTGTGTGGCGTGTTTCGGATTCCGCAATGCATGCTGGAGGGCCTCAATCTCTTGGACACACAGTTTGGGGCCTTTCTCGGTCATGTGGACTGTGCATCAATGCAGCTGTGGAACGTTGAAGACTGGTGGAAGTCTACAAAGCTTCTTTTCAAAGAAAATGTTCAAAAAGTCCTGTTCTGCGAAAGGCCTGGGCAGAAGCATCAAAAGACCAGTCCCACCATGGGTCAGATCTGCAAGAACTCGCAACTGTGCTTCAATGATTGACTTGACATTGCGAAGTTGATCCAACTTGGGTGAGTTAGGCTCTAAGTTAAGACGAGCCGCATGGAATCACTACCAGGTTGCTCAGAGCTCCTGAGATTCAGAGTAGAAGTCTACAATGAATTGAAAAGTTCAATTGACAATGGAAAGAGATACTTATTGCCTTATTGCTCCACGCATTCTAAGGGCCCAAATCTTCGATAACCAAACAAGTTCGAAGTTGATGCCGGAAAAGCTGAAGACTCAATCTTGAAATATGATGAAATATGTAGCTTAGATTAGCTTAGCCGCTTATATAGCAGTTTCATTTGTTATATTTGTTGCAACCAAGAATCTGAAGAGCTGGACTTGGAGTCTGGGCATCGTGTTGCAGCCACCCCATCATATTGGAGAAATCAGATGTGCTTGGCCGAAAGACCAACACACCAGCGTTGAAGTAGAAGCCAACATCATACGAATCTGCAAGCAGGCTGGTAGCACAAGATAGCACAAGTCTGCATCACCATCAATCGCCACGCCTGGAGCTGTGTAGTTGCACGTTTCACTTCTCCAACATTCGCAAGCTGGGACAGCAGCAAGCCTCAGCTGTTGCTGAGCAGCTCAAATGGCGCTCTCTCTCGAGATCCGCAGTCGACGGACCCAGTGCAGACAAGTTCTGCTGGACATGGTCTCCTTTATTGCCATCCCAGCATTCTTGAGATCGATATCAATTTGCCGACAGGACCAAGTCGCTCACATCCCAGCTGGAGGAGTCTTTTCCAAGATGGACAGGATGTTTCCCAGGATCAAGATGTCAGCATCCATGTAGACGATCACATCGTACTCCTGCGAAGCTCGGCTTTTCGAGTGATATGCTGCCATGAAAATGTTGCGTCTTTGTGTCATCGTCAAGCTACAAGGGATTAATGGGGTATGGTCATCCATCCCATAACGGGAGTCCTTATAATGTGAAAATCCCGTTCTGGGCACGGTATGTCATCCAACTATTGACGCGAGCCATGTGTGTCAAGTCGACGCCACATTCTCTATTCCCAAGCGCAGGTGGCGGGAGATAGAGAGAATAACAATCTAATTACACAATATATCACATCACAATCCAACTATTGACCATATCACAATATATCACATCTGTCTCCTCCAATGACCATAGGCCAAGCTTCTTCCAGCAGAAGTTGAAGTTTGGCCTTGGAACATCCAGGCCCAAAGCTGTGACTCCTGCTTAGTGATATAATCACTCAACCAACAAGATCAACAAGAATTCTGGATCAAAGAAAAAAAACTGGTACTAAGCTCCAAGCATGAGTGGCTCACCGACAAAAGCAGGTACTGGTACATCTGGCAGGCTTGACAACGCTCGCAACTCCACGCCTGTTGCGAGAGGGAGTGAAGCGAGATAACATCTGGCTGCAGCTGGCTGGATCACTGACCAGGAATCGCAAGTTCGGCCACTGATGTGATGGTGTGTTCAGCTTCCCTCAGAACTCTGAACAGGCCTGGAACCAGAGAAAGCTCTGTGTCGCTGAAGACAATAACATCGATCCAGTCTGGCAGTCCAGACCGTAGACCAGCCTTTCGCAGGCCAAAAAAAAAATAGATTGCCATCAAGGCTGTCGTGTGCTGTCACTATCTGTAGCTCCCATCCCACGGCCCCCAGGGCCCCACCGTCAGCACAAGAGCACCCTGGCTGTAGTCGTGTGTTGCCAGGGTCACAAAAGCAGCGCGCTGTGCATCCCCATGCCTGCACACGGCAAAGTTTGTTCCAGGAGCAGCTGGTGTTTGGTCTTTTCTTGCCCCTTCATAGCAAACAACAGGCAAAGCTCTGGTGAGTGAAGCTGCTTTACATGCATCAGTCTGCCAGCGCCTTGAAATTCCCTGCACGTCGCCTGTCAATACATGGAGTAAACACAAGCATAAATTGAGAGCGTTTTTTCATAAGCCAGTCACTTTCACAACCTAGAATCACTTCTCCGTGTGACACAAGTCATTGATTTTCCAACACACTAACCAAAGCGTCCAGCTCGGCGAATAAGCTTCCGTGCAAACAGGATTACAATGTCTTGGTATCTATAGAGTACTAAACGTTATATTTAATCATGCAAGATTCTTTCGGTATATCATATCTTTAAATGTGGTGATTAGTCTATGGCATCTATGGTATCTATGGCATCTATGGCATATGTGGCATCTATGGCATCTTGCCTCTCCGAGCTGGAGAGCGTGAGCGATTGGCCATGTACAGCTGACATCAGCTGTTGGTGCTGTTGGTGCTGTTGCTGGAGAGAAGATATATCCCATTACTATAGTGGGATATACCATATATCCAATATTATCCAATCACAAGTCCAACTCGGTCTCTGCACACCCAAAGTCAGGATGAATCCAACAGAAGTAACAGAAGTGCACAAATGTGTCCAGTATGAGATCGAACAAGAATTCATTCCAAGACCTCTACAAAGCATGAAGTGGGGCTGGGACGACAAAAACGTGAAACCGTCGTGTTTATTTTTCACATGCTGGCTGAACCACATTTATACTGTCAATGCTTAGGTCAGCTGCATGTGGGTCTCTTGTTGATTTGTTGAACCAAGCGCCTTTGCGGGTGTGCAAAAAGCTATCCGTCTACAATCATCTTAAGGTCCTATCTACAGAAAAGGATGTCTAGGAGTGCACAGATTTGGTTCAGGTGCGATGGAAAAATGAAGGGAAATGTCATGGCCCTTCCGGATAAGCAAAAACAAGGACATGAGTGCCAGGGTTGGCCGTTATGCACAAATGCAAACCCACCGCCCTGACGAATGTCCTCGGTGTGCAAAGCCTTAAGAAGCGCAACCTCCACGCTTACCCAGAACAGAAAGGGTCTCACACACAAATAACTCAATGGCCAAGAATCAAAGGAAAAAACTGTATTTTGTGCGAAATCTTGCAAGTCACGAAAGCTGCAATGGGCTCCGAGTCTATTAGTCGCAAGATGAAGCGAGCAAGCATGAAACAATCAGGCGCCACATGCACTCGTTCGTCAATTGTGAATTGAGGTCTCTTCTCCATTCAATTGTCAAACCAATCTTTACATACTTCAAATGAACACCGTCGCACCCTTCTGACGGCTCATACGGATTCCTTTAGTTGGTCAATGTCTGATCAAACAAATAAGTGCAAGCGATCAAAAGAGCCATCAGTGGTCTAAAGTCTCTAAAGGCTAGTATTAGATTCTTATTAGATAGTATTAGTATGTATTAGCCACTTCTTTTCAGGTGTCCCCATGTCCCCATGTCCCCATGTTGCCGTGTGCCATGTGGCAACTCTCGCACCGCTGCACCGAAAAGCCCTGAAGCTGCACCTCTTCGGTGTGTGAGGCTTCCAGCTGCGCTATCGCTCCAGCGCATTCGGCCTGCAGAGGAACAGGCAGCCAAAGCCACAAAGGGTGAAGCCCGGTGAAGCTGTGAAGCGAATAACCAGGATATTAACCAGGATATACTGCAACCATCTGTAGCGTGAGAAGGAAAAAAATATTGCAGGTATATAATAAAAGCTCCTTCATTCAGCAGCTCCAACTGAACATGAGTCCAGGGTTCTCCAATGTATAGAGACACATTCGAAAGAGTGTTGCAATTTGCAAGCGGAGGCCTCGTCATCCTCAAGCTCAGCAAGCTTCGGTAGCCCTGACATCAGTTTTCGATAGTTTGAGGGCATGAACGGGGAAGCAGAAAAGTGCCAGGCTGAAAAAGGACCCTGTCCCTGACGTCCCTCCGAGGCCTTCTTTCAGCTCCTCTTTGCAATCAGCCACTTCCTGCTTCAACCGCACCAAGTCTTCACTGCAGACCTGGAGTCAGCCAATTCAACTGATCGTTGCTTCCCTTCTTGATACATATCAAAACATATTAAAGCAAATATGATGTTAGCTAACTTCCGGACACAAAAATCATGAAACACCTTTCAGATTCTTTGATTCCCACCTGAATCTGTGTGCGCAACACCTCCGCCTCCATAAAACGTGCCATCACAGGCGCAGCTTCTTCACGAAGCTGCTTCACTTTGGCCTCCAAACGTTGCAGCTGGGAGAAGGGGCACCGGCGAAACAGTCGATATTAAACTTTGACCATGTCGATAAAATAGATTATATGCAATGATGCATGCCATATCATGCCACATCATGCCACTATATTTAATGGAATTGCAAAATGTTCAAACATCCATACCGCAGGTGTAGCCTCTATTTCAGCACGTTCCTGTTCAGCCTCAACGAAAAAGTGTCCAAAGGAGGTCATTGGAAGAATCACAATGCTCATTGTGCTACACAACTGTCTGGACAGTGTTAAAAGATCAACCTCTGGTCATTTTGCACTGAAGCCTTACGGCGTTTTGGCAGGTCTTGGCCCCTCGCGATGTCGCGATCCCTTTCTGCTCGGGCAACTTTTCGTTCAAGAAGCACTCGCTTCTCCTCCAGCGCGGAATTAATTCCTTCTGATCTTTTCCGGTCGCATGGAAAACCGTTTCACGATCATCAAATCTTCCCACCTTCTGCAATGAGCTCCAATTGATATGTGGTTTACTTTCTATATCTTTACAACTCTTTTTGTGATACCTAAAGATTGGAATCCATTTGGATCGCCTTGGCCACAATGTGCCTGACAGACCACGGAAAAAGAAGTCCAAACTATGCCAAAGTCCTAAACTAGTGCAACTCTGGGCATCAAGGAGACTCTTTGGCATGGCAGGTTCTGCTAAGTATGCGTCTAATCTCGCACATTGCCAAGGGGAAAAGGACTATATACGGCATGCACAACAAAAGGAAGCTGTATCATCCTGTATCTCTCTCTCTCTCTCCCTCCCTTTCCGGTGGACGCAAGTTCTCCTCCAAACTGTCAGCTTTTTCCTCCGGATTTGGTCAAAGTCAGTCGAAGAGCCAAATATTCACTCACAGCACTTGCAGGTACAATTTCAACTCAAGGAGCCGTCATCAAATACTTGGAGTATCTTGGTGTATCTTGGTGTCCTGTAGGTCAGCAACAAGCGGTTCGCTTTCTTGAAGCTGCGCTTGAAGTGACTCGACAATTTCACGGACCTCCGCTGAAAAAGAAGCGCATCCGTAACGACGGCTGTGGAATATCCTGAAGCAAATCACCAGGCCTGTCCGAAGACCAATTGTTTCGCCTCCTCTGTCACTGCAAGCTCGGAGTCTGTACCTCACTAGATCCAAGGCAGAATGAGCTTTCAATAGCAAACATTAGCAAACCTTGTCACTAGAGGCAATGTTTTTAAGATTTTCTAAGATCTCTTGAGTATTCAAGTATTCCTGCCAATTCTATCCACTTCTAATCATTTTTGCAAGTGGGAGCCGCGCCTTGAACGAACTCCTCTAACTGCCGCAACTTCTCTGGGCCTCAGTGTGAATTTGGCGTCCAAAATCAATTTCTTCAAAGCTTCAAAGAGCACAAGTGGGCACACTGCGGCGCACTTTTACCGTATCCGCCGACCCCTGCCGACAGCAGGGGGAGCGCGTCAGAGGAGGAATTACCAGCAGCAAGGGCCAAGAAGTCATTACAAGCAGCAAGGGCAAGAAGCAAGAAAACATGAAAGAAGAAGCAAGAAGCAAGAAACAATTACAGGCAACAAGCGGCAAGAAGCAAGAAACAAGAAGCCAGGAAGCAACAAGCGGCTGGAAGACAGGTCAGAGAAGTCATTACAAACAGCAAGGGCAAGAAGGAAGAAAACAAGAAAGAAGAAGCAAGAAGCAAGAAGCAATTACAGGCAGCAAGCGGCAAGAAGCAAGAAACAAGAAGCCAGGAAGCAACAAGCGGCTGGAAGACAGGTCAGAGAAGCAAGAAACAACAAGCCAGGAAGCAACAAGCGGCTGGAAGACAGGTCAGAGAAGCAAGAAACAAGAAGCCAGGAAGCAACAAGCGGCTGGAAGACAGGTCAGAGAGCTAGTTTTCTTGTCGATTCAAAAAGCAACGTTAGGCAGGCGGCTGCTGGAAATACGGTCAGAGATCAATAACAGAAGCCAAGGAAGCAACAAAACGGGCACTAGGAAGACAGGTCAGTGAGCTAGTTTTCTTGTAGGTTCAGAAAGCAACGTTAGGCAGTGGGAGCCGTTGCCCGGAGGCTCGGTCCGTCCTTCAGGGCCCTTCTGTTTTGCTGTGGCGAGGGCGCCGTTTGTGAGCCTTGACGGCTGGAAGAGAGCTAGTTTGGGAGCCGTTGCCCGGAGGCTCGGTCCGTCCTTCAGGGCCCTGCTGTTTTGCTGTGGCGAGGGCGCCGTTTGTGAGCCTTGACGGCTGGAAGAGAGCTAGTTTTCTTGTAGGTTCAGAAAGCAACGTTAGGCAGTGGGAGCCGTTGCCCGGAGGCTCGGTCCGTCTTTCAGGGCCCTGCTGTTTGGGCGTGGCGGAGGCGCCGTTTGTGAGCCTTGACGGCTGGAAGAGAGCTAGTTTGGGAGCCGTTGCCCGGAGGCTCGGTCCGTCCTTCAGGGCCCTGCTGTTTTGCTGTGGCGAGGGCGCCGTTTGTGAGCCTTGACGGCTGGAAGAGAGCTAGTTTTCTTGTAGGTTCAGAAAGCAACGTTAGGCAGTGGGAGCCGTTGCCCGGAGGCTCGGTCCGTCCTTCAGGGCCCTGCTGTTTTGCTGTGGCGGAGGCGCCGTTTGTGAGCCTTGACGGCTGGAAGAGAGCTAGTTTGGGAGCCGTTGCCCGGAGGCTCGGTCCGTCCTTCAGGGCCCTGCTGTTTTGCTGTGGCGAGGGCGCCGTTTGTGAGCCTTGACGGCTGGAAGAGAGCTAGTTTTCTTGTAGGTTCAGAAAGCAACGTTAGGCAGTGGGAGCCGTTGCCCGGAGGCTCGGTCCGTCCTTCAGGGCCCTGCTGTTTGGGCGTGGCGGAGGCGCCGTTTCTGAGCTTGGAAAGCTGGAAGACGGCTACTTTTCTTGTAGGTTCAGAAAGCACTGTGGGGCATTGCCGTGCGGTGTGGCAACCTTAAGCTGGAAACGTCATCAGGTATGCACGCGCCACTGGTTGGTGCGACACTGCCGGCCGCTGGGATTGCGATGCGTTACCCGAATTCGGCCGGAAGCCAGTGTTGAGTGCACCACCGTGCCGCATGTTGGACATGCATGCGAATATGTGCGACCTGCGAGCAGGCCATTGGCAACGCGAAATTGTTTGCCGCAGCCATTACCGCGGCGGTGATCGACGCGCCCTGTTGCCACAGGGCTTTGCACAGACTTAGCACAGTACGGGCAGATGTATATGTGCAGTCGTGGCGGTGCTGTGTCAGGCCCGACAGCAAGCTGCTGGTTCGATGAGTGGGCAGTGTCCGTTTTGGGACCTTCTGCTCGCGTGGAAGTTTGTCTTGCTTCGTGTATTTCCTGAATTTCCTTGCGAATGTCCTCTAGGATTGCTGCGTGCCGGTGGCGGGTTTCGCGTTGGCGCAAGCGGGCCAGGCGTTGATTCGTGCGATGAGCAAGACGGCAAACGAAGGCAAAGGCTGTGCATGCGTTGCATACTTGTGTGCCGTCTTGAGTATATTCACGACCTTGTTGCCAAGCTGTAAACTCTGTTCGTGGCTTGCGTTCCGCGCACATGGAACACATGAAAACAGACCAGCGACTTTGACTGAGCTTCGGCCGCCATCACTGTGGAAGATGTTCACTGCAGGAAGGGTTCCAAACTCACTCTCTCCCAGGGGTCGGCGGCAGGGGGCGTAGCCCCTTAATATATATGTATATAATATATATATATATATATGATATACTTCTCAGATCTCGTGTGAAACTTCCCACCATTCTGCACCTGAGTCGTGCGAAGTGCTGCTTGGAGACGCCACCATTCTGCAGGATCTGCTGCAGCTTCTCCTGGCCAAAGATATGGCATATCAGTGGCATGTTATACATTGTAATACCATGTAATACCACCCTAACGCAATAAGTCTTAAATATTTTAAATAATATTTTAAATAAGTATGATACTTACCCACTAGCTATGAGGCAGCGTCATTGACCTCAGAGACCCCCTCGATTTCCCTCGCTTTTGCCCCGGCTTCCTCTGCCAAGTCGAATTGGTGTTCTCCCTTGACGTAAGCCACGATCTCTCCAGCGGTAAGGACCCCGTCTTTATCCTTCCAAGCATCGGCAGATATCGGCAGCAGCATTTCCATCACTCTTCGGTCAGCGAAAATGACACCGATAGACCCTTGCCCTGCCTGGTCGTATTGATCAAAGATGGCTTCCTGCCGGCACAAGTGTCCTGGCCTATTTCAACCAGGAAGTAGCATTCCACCCTTAACTTTTGTAAGAAAGTCAATGCTGGGTACTCTAGGCACTTATCTAGGCACTGATCTATGCAGCTTGATCTGCGACTCTGTCGTTGCACATCTGCCCTCATAGCCGCCTGGCGCTTTGCCTCTTTCTCAACTGCCACTCTTCTTGCCTTAGCAGAACGATTTGGCAGGCACATGCAGGCATGTGAACTGTGCAAAGTGTCTCGGAATTTCTTGGACTTTCGGCGACACAAGGAAAATCTAGGAAATGTATTCATTTTGCTCTTGTTGCTCTTGCCTCTTTTTCAATGCGTTGGATGGCAGCCATCTTTGCCAGCCTCACCTGCGCATAGAAATTCACGTCGATTCCGCAGAGCAAACTTTGGAGGTTCTCTAGAGCCCGAACACTTCACGCTTGAACGCTTGCAAAATATTGGAAAATAAGTGCTTGAAAGACTTGGGCGGTAAAACCTCCATAGACTCCCCGGGACTCCATGGCATGCTATCGACGGTCGTGGCATGTCGTGGCATGTCGTGGCATGTCGTGGCATGTCGTGGCATGTCGTGGCATGTCGCCATCGCCTTCTCCAGGATCTGATCCAAAGCACTGCGGAGCTGTCGTGCTTGACCTTGCGACTTGCGAAGCTCACAATGTTCGAAAGAGTTCCATGAAATAGCGGAAACATGCGGAAACCCTGGGTAGCAAATGGTAGCAAATGGTAGCAAATGGTAGCAAATGGTAGCAAATGGTAGCAAATGGTAGCAAATGGTAGCAAATGGTAGCTATATGCGATTCTAGCTATTCATAATTATTCATAGCTATTCCCTGTAGGGGAGAAACAAGACGCAAACGGTGTCTACTTGGCTCAGGGCAACCCGGCCAAACCAGCCAAACCAGCTATGCCGACATGGAATCGAAAGGCCCCCCCATTTCCCCCAGTCTCCTTTCGTCAAAGTCTCAGACCTGCAAGTTTGGTCGACCGCGCTTTGAGCTCCTGAGCGAAAAAAAAACGAAGAAACAGCATGGAGACTCAGTAAGACTCAGACAGCACAGCCCTGCAGCAGAAAAAGCTCTGGGTCTCCTCAGTTGGCCCGTGAATTTGTTTCACATTCTGGTCCAGCAAGCTGGTACAGCCTTAGTCTAAGCGCTCTGGAAAATGAAAAAAAAACGTTAAAAAACAAGTTTTTCTAAAAAAAGATCTCAAGTTTTTGCAGGTCCTGGGATGTCCGCCGCTCACAAGTCAACCTCTACGAGGCCGTGGGCCGTGCACCGGGACACCCCAACGAAGCGCAGCTTGTAAGGCATTTTGCCCCGGTTTGTCAAAGTCATCGCATGCACTGATGACGGCCTTGGCAACGTTGGCAACGTGTCATGCAAAAGATTGCACGCCATTGCCCAAAAAAAACTGCTAACAGTTGACGTGGATAATTCTCACAACAATGACACACAGGATAACATGGATAACGGATAACGCCAACGATCCCGATGCAGAATGATGGCATGAAAAACTCCGCACCTGGTCAGCTTCATTTCCATCTTGACGTTGTGCCTTTCCCAATGCCTCCTGACGGCGAGCTGCTCAGCTTCGGCCAGGTGACAACGTCACCTTGGATCCACCTTGGATCCAACGCGCCTGGAGCTTTCGGACGGTAGCAGCCTGACCGACAACGAAAGAATGTCGGATGTGAAAATTCGGAAATGGAATGTGTGAAAAAGTGGTGTCACAGTTTGCTTTGGAAAACTCGTGTCGCCATGTTTCATCCGCCTCTTCTTCGGCAACGGCCAGCAAACTCTCCAATTCGGCCTGACGCAAAAGCAGAAAACCACGGTGAATTTTAGGCTAGCACCGTGCACCGTGCAAAGCATCGTGCAACATCTTTTGCACAAATACAAGGATATACAAGGGCTAGTAGCGGCTAGTCGTCTTCAATTCGTCACTTGTTTCCACAAAGCTGATTCTGATGTTCCGACAATCATCTTGGTGGCTTTATCTCCAGAGGTTTACAGCAGTTCTTGCCAGTGTCTTCTGCATAAAGCTAATCAAAATGTTTTCAGGCAGGAAAGACATGTAAAGACTCATACCTACCATTACCTAATCTTATCCTAGTCTTCCTACCTACCTTCACTCCCTGGAAGCTGGTGTCTAAACCTGCCCTATTTCCATTCTGTCCTGGAGGGAGCGGGCCAAGAGTTCATCCTTGGCAGGCTTTGCCTTTTGCCGAACCTGGACAGCAGGCGTAGGCGTGACACATCCCGTGACAATTACGTGACATGGGAAGCCATGGGAAGCCATCAAGAAGTGCATCACAAGTATTCAACGTGAGTAAACTGCGCTCGCGGCGAACAAAGCACCGGCGGTCAAGCTATTAATCGGAAACTAAAACCCGTGAATCGAAAAATAAGAACCTTGAATCGTAAACCAAAACCCCGGAATCGGCAACCACAGCTGAATCGTAAACTAAAGCAGGTGAATCGGAAACTAAAGCAGGTGAATCGGAAACTAAAACCGGAGAATCGGAAACTAAACCAGCTGAACCAATCAGAATGGGCAACTTGTCTCCTTCAATCGGAAAGAGAAGTTGAAGGAAAATCCTGCTCAAAATAATGGCCAGAGGGGGTGGAGGAATTGACTTCTTATGAAGATAAGTTGAAGGTAATATCTCATTCAACATAATGGTCAGAGGGGGTGCCGGATTTGATCCCATGTGGATAAGTTGAAGGTAATATTTCATTCAACATAATGGCCAGAGGGGGTGGCAGGTTTGATGTCTCATGAAGATAAGTTAAAGGTAATATCCCATTCAACATAGTGATCAAAGGGGGTGGCGGATTTTGATACTTTACAAAGAGAAGTTGAAGGTAATATCCTATCCAAATGTATTCAACATAGTGGCCAGAGGGGGTGGCGGATTTGATTTCTTTTGGAGACAAGTTGAAGGCAATATCCCATTCAACAAAGTGTTCAGAGGGGGTCGGGGGGTTTTGATACCTTACAAAAGGAAGTTGAAGGTAATATCTCATTAAACATAATGGTCAGAGAGGGTGTTGATCCCTTATGAGGATACTTTGAAGGTAGTATCTCCTTCAATATAATGGTAAGAGGGGGTGCCGGATTTGATCCCCTATGAGGATACTTTGAAGGTAATATCTCATTCAACATAATGGTCAGAGGGGGTGCCGGATTTGATCCCATATGTGGATATGTTGAAGGCAATATCTCATTCAACATAATGGCCAGAGAGGGTGGTGGATTTTATCCCCGACGAGGAAAAAATAAATAAATGCACTATCCTTTTCAACATTCTGTTCAGAGGGGGTAGCGGGTTTGATCCCATATGTGGATAAGTTGGCGGTAATATCTCATTCAACAAAATGTTCAGAGGGAGTGGCAGATTTGATTTGGTTTCAGATTCGTTTTTTTGGTTTCTGATTCGTGGGTTTGTTTGGTTTCTGATTCGCGGATCTTGGTGTCTGAATCGCAATTTTTAGTTTCTGATTCTCAGTTTCTGATTCGCGGGGTTTTGTATCTGATTCCTGTATTTTAGTGTCTGATTCGCGCGGTTTTCGGTTTCTGATTCGTGGGCTTTTGGTTTCTGATTCGCGGATTTTAGTTTCTGATTCGCAGGTTTTAGTTTCCGATTCTCAGTTTCTGATTCGCGGGGTTTTGTATCTGATTCCTGCATTTTAGTTTCTGATTTGGTTTTTGGTTTCTGATTCGTGGGATTTTGGTTTCTGATTCGCGGATTTTAGTTTCTGATTCGCGGGTTTTAGTTTCTGATTCTTTGTTTCTGATTCGCGGGAAGTTTCTGATTCGAGGTTTGTTCAAGCACCGCCTTGCAAACATCTTGTCTGTTGTGGCTGCGTGTATGACTCATGCTATAAACATGGGATCACCTCTCACACACACAACCATAATGTCACTCATATTTCATCCATTTCATCCCAAATGAGCAGCCTTTAGCACAACCATGTCGACACTGGCTCTTGCAGCATGACTCCTGGGCACATTTTTAGCCGGATGCCACGACTAGCCAAGAGATGCAAAATGGATCGGAACAACATGGAACGAACGTGACGTGAAACCGAGACAGAGGCTGCAGGGGCTGCAGGGGATGCTGTCAGCATCTTCCGCTGCTTGCGCCATACCGATCACAGCCGCATACGATATGAAAAGTCTTGACGAGTGATGAATGTGATGACACTATGTGAATCTATGTGACATGCTTTTGCCTGCACGGAGCAGGGGCGCTGTCTGATTTTGGACACAAATCATCAAAATCATCAAGATTTACCAACGAATAGAGCGCTCCTCTTGAGAAGTGACGCGCAGTTCGACATCGTCGCCTGCAACGAGCCAAGTACCACGTGTCGGCCACTCATTTCAGAACTCTTCCAAACGTTGATTCCATGTTGATTCCAGGTGGTTTTTCCGTCATGTTTGACCGGTTCAAAGCATCGAGCCAAGCAAGTTCCGCAAGTGCATCAGGTCTAAGGGGCCACCATGAGAAGTTTTTCGATGTGACCGACATCTGGCAGTGTCTACACAGTCTACACATCTGGGCGCTGTGTCTGCAACTACGAACTGAAAAAAAGCCCACATGGACACAAAAGCGACACACAGGGATGTAAAACAATCCTGGCAACCAAAGCACAGACAGTTTAATGCACATCATTGGCACATCAAAGGCTGACTTTATGGATGCTTATGGATGTTTATGGTGTTGTTTGTGATTATTTGCAGCGATGGCGGCAACATCCCAAGAGTCAAGAAATATGAACAAGACAACACCAAGGAATCTATGGAACCCAAGAAACACTAAATCTTGGCCACCAAGGAAACCAAACAAACCAAAGCAAACCAAGGCAAAGCATCGAAGTATACAAAGGAAACCAAGGAAAGCAGAAAAATCCGCCCGCACCGAAGGTGCTGGGGCGTGATCTTCCGGATGGCACTCGTAAAAGGTTACAGGTTTACCTGGGGGGGGGGGGCATTTTTCGGCCAAAACCTCCTGTTTTTGATAGGTCGTGACGCTCGCCTTCAAAAAACACTGTAAAAAACAGTACGGAAGACACCTGTTCGTGAACGCGCCCGTCCAAAATCGGCAAGCGAAAAGTGAAAAAAACCCGTGTTTTTCAACTTTTTGACCTCAATTTTTTGGTTTGCAACATCTTTTTTTGCGGTTCCGCAGGTGGCCGGGCCCGGAGGCGGATTTTTGAGTTTTTGGACCCGTTTTCGGACTGATTTTCGTCGTTTTGTGATAGCAGAAACACTGGTTTTTACAGTGTTTTTCTGTTTTCTGCATGCTTGACGGCTAGCTTCAAAACTTCCAAAAACCTCGTAAATTACGCTGTTTTATGTTACGGTGTGAATGAAAACATCGTAAATACCAGTGTTTTTTGACGTTGGTTAAAAAAACACTGTAAATTACAGTGTTTTTGGCCACCTGACCCTCAAAAACCATGGTATTTGCAGTGGTTTCTGCTTCTCACCGCGCAAAAACACTGTAAATAACAGCAATTTCGCCGTTTTTTCATGTTTTTCGTTATTTTTTGAACTGCGTTGGTCCGCTATACATGGCTATCAAATTCTTCGCGTTTTTTTTTCCGACAATCAGTACTTTCGGATGTTTTTGGTCTCAATGGCCGACATCATTGGCAGTTACGAGCGGCTGCCCAACGATGCGGTGCGGGCGGTTGCCGTCGCAAAGCGACGTGAATATATATATATTATATATATATATATATACTCAAAACCAAAGGAACCCAAAGCAAAGAGACCATACCAGACCACCATCGCAACCAATGGAAACCACAGGACCGGACATGAGAAACCAAGGCAAATGCCACACATGTCATAATTGTCATAGTGCAAAGAAACATGAAGATCTGTATAACTTTAACCATAACTCGTTTCAAAGAGGTAATGAATTGAATTAAAAGCGAGTGAACCATGCCCGGCACCTCGGTGTTTCCTTTCAGTTTGAGATGTCTCCCGTCCATGAACTCCTCAGCGTCAAAGTCGTAGCGCAAGATCTTTAGCAGGAGAAATACACTTTAAAGATCTTTAAAATACTTCAACAAATAAATGCAAACACGCACAGTTCTGGCAAATGTGTTGAAATGTGAAATATGTGCTCTCTGTTCCTCAAGTCATTCGCCCCACTGTGCTCTTTTGACTTTTCACCTCACTGAAAGTCCCTTTAGTTCCCGAAAATCTTAGGGCAGAAAACCGCTGAAGGCTGCATAACTGGGCCAAGTGGCAAAGCATGCCTTGACCGCATGCTGCGCCGCTAATGCTGCAGTCTGAGAGCGGGTGATCGCGGCTTCAAATGTTGAAATGCAAAACCCCTGTGACATTGGCATTCCCGGCTCACCTCGAAGTCTTCACTGACACGAACTATCTCCTTCCATGAATTTTCATAGGTTCTTTGGCAGTACCCCTGTCGTGCATTCTTAGTGTACTGCCATAAAGTCTTGTACTGACACGTACTGGAACCATCCAAAATCTGTTGATCAAAACTTTTGGTCCTCGCAGGACGCCGGTTCATCGATCTTTGCAGACTCTGCCTGACGGAAACTTGGAGACATGTCGACACCTTCGTGGTGTAAGGTTCATTGAATTCGTGTGACAGATTCATTGAAAAATATATAAACAATACATATATATATATATATGTAATAGAGATAGATTGAAAATCATGCCATGCCATGCGTCCCGTGCCGTGCCGTGCAACACAGCGACACAGGTCTCGACCCGAAACGAGACCCGAAACGATGCGTACGGCGATGCTGAGGACCTCAGCCATCTGCACTTCCAACTCAGCCACCTGTCGAGTGCTGAAATCCCTGGTGAAACAACATTTCTGGTGAAACATGGGGCGTTCTGATTTTTCATGATTTTTCTGTGGCATTCTTAGTTCACATAAATTGAGATCATTCTTGTGGTCATACTTGTTATTCATAGTTGTTAAAGTAAGTTACTATATAAGCATTATATAGCATTATATTATTATTAATGAATATTAATAATATGTATTGATGATTATTGATGATCATTAATAATCATCAATCTAAGTCATTAATGATCGTTGTGCGGAAAGAGCTCCATGTTTTGCTGCGACATGCTGCGACTGTCCGAACTGTCCGAAAGCTGGGATCCTCGATGAGCTTCCGCAGCTCGTCCTGCAAGACTTGGGCTGCCTCATCTGCTTGGCGCCTGGCGAATGCGCATGGAATGGACATGGAGTAATAGATTTTGTGCATGCGAATTGACCTTGAATTGAGATGTGAAATTTCTTAAATGGATTTAAATGGAACATGTGAGTTGAAGTGGCATGTGAAGAGATCTTTCTATGCAAAACATGTGAGAACAAAAAGCATTGGCAGCATAGGTTTTTTTAAGTCTTTAGATAGATATCTTGGATGCAACGGCTTTCGCCTGGCATAGCGGCATAGCCACATGAAACAAAGAGTTTGTTCCAACATGTTCCATGGCTGGCGCCTGACATTTTGCTGCTCTTCTTCGACAAGGCGTTTCCGCTCTTCTTCCAATCGCCTCAGTATTGGAATCTGCATATGGGAGGATTCACAGCATTGTGTTTGAATGCACACAATGGAAGCATTGTAAGCTGTCCACCTTTTCTCTTCAACCTCTGCTCGACGTTTTTCGATCTCCTCCTGCTTTCTTCGTTCTTCCTCCACACTTGCAATGATTGACACAAAACTTGTAAGATAAGACTTTTGACGCAAGACTTGTAACATAAGATTCCCGCAGGTTTGAACCAAATCATCCAAATCCCTTTGTTGAACATCAGAATTCGAAAAAGTATCTCCCAGCCACATTGTCACTCGTTGTCACTCGTTGTCACTCGTGTGCTCTCCCCGCAGGGCGCAGGCTTCGACAGATCTAGGCACGCGGCACGCCTCCTGCTTTTTGTGCGCAATCTCATTCTGTTGATGAAGCCTTTGAGTCAAGCAGCTTGCGCTCAGTCTGTCAGTTGCACTTCACAAAGAGATTGGGCTCGTTCTCAAAACGATTTTTTAATTCCTTTCTACTATTTCCATCTATTTTCACTGCTTCCCTACATGCTTATTGGATTGCGATATCTGGTCACTCCTTACTTTTCAAACTTGCGCTTGATTTGTCTCAGAGATTGGCCTGTGAACTTGCGCGAATTTCACCAGTTTCTCCATGTTTCTCCACTTCCCGCTTCTTGCAACATCTTCCAACATCTTCCCACCTCTTCAATCTATCAATCCTTTCCATCCTTTTGAACTTTCCATCCTTTCAATCCTTCCTTATGCCCCATACAGCTCATACAGCTCGGGCCCGAACTGTGCTGTTTGCCGTAGCAGCTCTTCACCACGGCCTCTACCATTTTTTTTCAAAATGCTTGGGAACTCTGTTGGTTAATGGAGATTCCCATCATGGAATATGATCATCCAGGATATCTATGTATATATATATATGTATATATATATATGTATATATATATATATGTATCTATCTATCTATATATATATGGGGTAGTATCACCTGCTATAATCAACCTACTGGGGATTTGGAAATTGCTCAAGTGTGACCTTTGGGCTAATGTGTAACTTGAGCGAAGGGCATTTTTCAGGTGAGGGCTTGAACAAAAAGAAAATGGGAGACTTGAGAGAGGTAAGTTTATGGCACAGAAGAATAGAATTAGAATTACGAACGACACGTGAAGGCACTGAGAATGCTGATGGGGATTGCAGTGGTGATGCATGTCATGATGGCTATGATGTATAAAAAAATAAGACTCCCAAAATGAAAGCCATGCAGGGCAAGGAAGAAACCATAAAGTTGCCAAAGGAAAACCCATATAGCAACCGTGAGAAGAATGCATGGACACAGCGGGGATTGAAGTTCTTACCATTTTAAGGACACTTCCAACATATCCTGTCCCCTTCCCTGCCGGGAAAAGGAAAATGGTCTCACGGAAAAACTCAGGTACAGTAGATTCAATCGTCGATTTTGCCGAGGTGCGCAACAGGTCGTTGGGATTCGGTACAAGCCCCTCAGAGAGCAGTGCTTTTGATGATTATATATATATATACATACAGATACATATGTATATAATTATTTGTATATAGCAGGAGCTGTGAAAACACTGGTTTCAAACCGTTGATCTAGGATTTACAGTAATGTTTGAGGCTAAGGGTTTGAATCCTGTGGCTTTTCGGCTTTTCACCGTCTGTCGTTTCGGAAACTCCAAAATTGTCGTGGCACATCTTGGCATCCATGCGGAAGAAGCAGCAGCAGCAGCTTTGGAGAAGCCTCGACATTTTGACGCTTCTCCGAGTTTTAGCGCGGGAGCGCTCAAAAACGTTGGTGAATTCCAAAGTGTCAAGCAGTGGTTCAAGGGAAATGGCAACTTCAGGACCCAGTCTGTTTTTAAACTAAACATTGCACAATTCCCTGCAATCGGCGTTGTGCTAGATTGGCAAACCAATTCAACTTGAAACATCATGAGTCAATCATGAGTCAATCATGACTGTAGCACCGCCGAAAAATGATGAGATGCATCCCAAGGCTGCAACTCGCACCGCTGCCAGTGCTGCCAGTGGCAGTGCTGTTTCCACTAGGACCTTCGCAAAAAACGACAATTGAAGCCACGAAAGCTTGAATGGGGCTAGGAAAACATGAGAGGGATCTGGGAAGTAAATGTATATCAGGAAGAAGGCCAGGTGTTGGTTTTTGAGAGTCAGGTGCTCAAATCATTGAACATATCAGACATAAGAAAATACAAATGCTTCAGTGCGACCTATTGTAAACCCACTGTAAGTCTCAAACTCTATGCGTTTGACTATTGATGTTTTTTGCTGGTCTGAAGGCAACCTTTGAATTTTCGACGGCAAGGTCAGCAGCAGCTTTGGTCCACTAGTGTCGCCAAAAGTTTTGATGACTGGGTGCTAAGGCCACCCGCTCTAAGCTCTGGTCGAAATACAAGGTCACCGCTCGAGGTGTAAAATAAAGATTGCTTTTAACCCTTCTTTGGTGTGAGTCGGGTGGAGGGGTTGAGCGAAGCATCTCTGGCATCGCTTTCACCTGTGATGTCCTCTTTCTCCAACAGAAAAGGGTGCAACCAGCTACTACTGAGTAGCGGCCTGATCATTCATAGCCACCAAAAAGAAGCTGACTGCAAAAAAGAGACCAGACAGAAACTGGCAGAGAGTCCGCCAGTGATTCTGTTAGCAAGTTTCTTTCTTTCAGCCAGCCTTCTTGCTAGCCACGCAGGCTGGCAGCGTCATGAACCAACGAGTTTCCCATTCTATGTGCTAAAAAATTGGTGACGCGTGTTTCAAAACAGATCAGACCCCAAGAAAAAGCATGAACAATGAAACATATGACGATCAAATTCCTGGTGGCTTACCGGTGACTATGCACAGCAAAGTTGAAGGCCACAGTGTGTTCACAATGGGTCGCGGTGAAGCTTTTTCACAGTTGTTTTCAAAGTGCTTCATATTTCGCCAAGAAAACATATTCAAAATACTTTGATACTTTTCAAAATTTGAACACCTGTCTCCCAAAAAACTAACACCTGGTCTTCAGAAATCTTCCTTGTATATGCTCTAATTGGATCTGAGAGGGAAAAAAACACACGACTCACACTCCACTTGAGCAGTGTTCAAAAAGCCTGTGTCATTCCAACTGGTTAATAGTGATGCTCCTATTAGATTATCATAATACCCAATCTTAGACCAAAATTAGTCATCATATGTCATCATTGGGTAGTATAATCCCCGAACTCATCGAATCATCAACCAACGTCTGCACCTCTTGGTCGCTCCGGCGCGGCTCCCGCGGGTGGCGGCACAGCAGGTGGCACAGCAGGTGGCACGGGGGGTGGCACGGCAGGCACGGCAGGCACGGCAGGCACGGCAGGCACGGCAGGCACGGCAGGCACGGCTCGCCATGGAGGCGCCTGCAACAAACCCGGAAATCTTAACAAAAGGTGCACATGATCCAATGTTAAAATATGTTGAATTTTATGTCAAAAATTATGTTAAATATACAAACAGAATCAAATATGTGTATACATATATATATATTTATACACACATGGAAGACGTATAAAGCTCCGGAAGCCAGAGAACATGGATACACAGCAAAAAGATGCAAAAAGGCGGTACGCCGATGCCGCATTGTACGATTTGCCATGTCTGTGAATTGACAAATCGCACCTCCCTGTTGTTGCACAAAGGTGGGCATGGAAGCAAGCCAGAATGTAGGCATGCTTGTGCAAAGGCGATGTAGGTGGGCATTTGCAGGCATTTGCGTATTTGAGCAAACATGCCATGTCACAGCGATGAAACATAGCGCAATGCAATGCTATGCTGTGCTACGCAATGCAATGCACTGTGGCATCAGGCAACTTAATCTGACAATATGCACTGCACACCTTTCTTTCGCATGGACATGTACCCCGTCTCCATGTATCTAAGTAGGTAGGTTGGCACGGTAGTATGCCCAGATATACGAGGTGTGCATGTATGTTGTATGAAGCGAAGTTTCTAACCATGTTGGCATGTGGAGATGCAGGTATGCAGGTAGGTAAGTAGGTACGCAGGCAGGAGGGTTAGGTAGGTGTGCTATGGTGTGCTGTATCGCATCGTGAGATCGCTGTCAGATCTGTCACTTGAGTCCTTCAAGTTGCGTTTCTTGTCCTTTGCATCACTGGTCTATGTGTCCTGACCTGGAAGCTCAGCACATGTTGAACCGTGAAGAATTTCTTTCCCTTGGATGCGTGTGCAATGTGTGCGATGAATCTGTGATGAATGTGATCTGCATGTGATCTGCATGCTTCAAGGTCTGCTTCCCTTGGACCTGCGGTCGGGGCGCCACCGTTGCAGGTCCTTTAGGAACCTCTGGCATCGCCATCGCCTCCGGAGACATAGCAGACTTACTGACTTCAAATTCCTTGTCGACTCCGCAGCTTGAAGACTCTGATCTCTGATCCGCAAGCATCTCAGAGAATATGTTGTCTGTTTATGATTGTTTATGTATGTTATGTAGTACCAGGTACAAGTCCTCTGTGGCAGTTCTGAAGAAATTCAAACCATAGTCGACCCACCAAAAACGGAAAACGGAAAACACAATTGCACAGACCTCATCGCAAACAATACCCTATTTGAAACTGTTTGCATCTATTTGCCCGGTTCCCTCGCAAGATTCGATAGACTAGACAGCTCCGCCTTTGTCCTCACTTCCACGACAGGCGCAGCCTCGTATCACTGACTAAGTGACACTGCCAAAAGTCTGACAGCCCCACTGCTTGCACTGGACTGGGATACGGCATTCATGATTCTTCATTCTTGTTGCGCGATTTTAAAAACATTAGAGGGTCAAGGTGTTTCCTCTACGTTGTCGAATTTGCGACCTAGTCCCTGGCCCTCCTATCCCCAACGGTATCCCCCCCATAGCTGCGACCTCCCACTGCACGCTGCCTGCTATGTTTATATATCACCTATACACTTCTTGCCTACCTCTACGACCAAGTGTACATATTTGCTACTCATATGTAGATACAAATCATATATATATTACCCATTGCATGCCTATATACAACCTATATACTACTCATAGCGCACCTAATACGACCCATCAACTACCCATCCGCTGTGTGTATGATCATATAATGTATCAAACTCCCAAATTGACACTACAACCCTGTCCCTGCCCTGCTCCTGCCAATTCATTACTGCCAACTACCAAACATTGCTTGGTACGAATCTACTTACTGTTTAGACTACCTACGTGCCAGGTAATATCTTGTACATTTACTTACTACCACCAGCAGCATGGTAGTAACTTACATGCTACTTACTGCCTACATTACGCCAGCTATATACATCAGTGTAACATCTTTACAATGCTCCACTTGCTCCACTAGATGCACTTGCTCCACAATGCACATCCCGCCATCCCACCTTGGCCTGTTCAGTGTCTACTCGCGCTACCTGATCAAATTCTGAAGATTTGAGGTTTCCAATGGCAGGAGGCTTGTAAAAAGTATGGACCAATGGCAGGAGGTTTCCATGGATCCTGCCTTCCATGGGGGTTGCGCCTCGGTGTCCCCAGGGAAAAAGAACGCCACGAAACGAACCGGCCACGAAACACGGGAGTACATAACATATTAATGGCTGTTGAATGGCTATTGAATTGCTATGGAAAATGACTATTTAACGGGTATTTCATGTGTATTTAACAATGGTATCATATGGTATCATCATATAACCATGATTAACCATGGGTATTCAATGCTTTGTACATGACATAAAACTGCATAAAACGCTGTTTTGTAGGCCGAACGGTATTTGGCATCAACACCACATTGGTCATCTTTGGGTCACAAGAGGTATCTACACATTTCTGAACAAGGGCTGTCCTTAGAGACCGTCATACCATGTCATACCATTTACGAGTACCAGAAGAATCCAGCAGAAATCTTCAAACGTGGTTGGTGACCCTGAAAAAATCGAAACTTCATCCAGCGAGAAGCGCTGGAGTCGAAGGAAAACGCACTGACGGCCCTGGAGTGCCCTGGCTGTTTTGTCTCCATGGACTCCATTGCCCAAGCCAGACACCTTGGATTTCGCCACACAATCTATCCATATCTATCCACCATCTGCGACATCTAGCGACATCTCTATAGAGTCTATAGAAGCGACATCAGAAAGCCTTCAGAAATTGAATCAACGAATCAATCGCCAGCGTGAAATCTTGTGCTCCATCCCAGGCATGTGTGACGTCGAATGTCGACACCAAATATACGCGTTGGTTGAGTGGCTCTTATCTTTAGATGAATCAAAGGATATGGGATAATTCACAACCATATAATATCATATATGTCTTTTCGTGTTCAGATGGTATGTTGGATATTTATGTTTAGGATGCCCATGTATTTGTTTCATCGGCCTTTTTGGCAGCCTGACGGGCTTCAGAATCTGAGGAAAAGCTGGGGGCGTTGCCTTTTCTGGCGGATATCGTGTCGCTATTGATGAGTCAAATGGTGCACGGGCTTACACCGAGAAAATCTGAAAATGTTTTTTGAGAAAAAAAACACCACTGAATCTCCGGCAAGAGCTTTCTCAAGGCCCATCCTTGCTTGCACCGGTGGGAGTTACAATTAGTTTCAGCCAGCACCAATTGGTTGGCAGCCAGCCAACCAATCCAAGCTGGGGCCGCTGGGGCCTCAACGTCGGGCAGGAGAAGCCTCGCCAAAGTTCCAACATGTCATGAGGGCTACTGCCATCGCAAAGCCGTCACTCTCAGGTTGCAAAATGTGGCAAACCCAGGCCCCCGGCCCCCCAAGGCGAGGTGGCACTTTGGGAAACAATGGATGACCTGCAACGCGGTGGGAAACGGACACGTTGCGCACGTTGCGCACGTTGCGCACGTTGCGCACTTCGGGCATCAAAGAAAAGCTGCGTTTTAAATCGCAAGAAATGCAACTTTTCATTCCACTTTCGACATGCGCCTGGAAGGGGTAGAGCCCTCAGTGTTTTAACAGCCGACAGAGGCAGACACTTCTTAGTCATGGTCATCCCTGTCATCCCTGTCATCCCTGTCATCCATGTCATCCCATCGTCTCAACCCTTGTTGTGCTGAGCAACTTGAATGCAGGCGTGGTTGCCCGGGGCGAGTTTCCTCCTGCGATGCGGTAAATGAAAAGGCGGGCAACGGGTAAGGGCTAAACGATTTGGACATTGAAACATATGAAAACTAGGGAAATGCCATGCCAAGTTGGTCTGCGGCAGGTTTCGACAGGATATCTTTTTCGTATCAGCAAACTCCAAAGGTTCTGTTCTGTAGGAAATAACCCCTTTCAAAATCTTTCAAATACATCTTTTCCTAACCTATCTCTTCTCTGGGGCCTTGCCTCTCTTTCAGCCTCGTTCTTTGAGTTGGCGCATTTCTTTTGTGTAACCCCTCCGAATTGCCTCCCCTTCGGCTACCATCTTTTACCACTACCCTTCCAACCAAGCGCAGGAAACCGTTTCCATCATGACCTGGGGGTTGTACCGAAGGACCTTTGAGGTTGCTACATTCTGCACTAGGAGTTCCATCAGTCCATCAGAATTCTCCAAGAAAATGCCACTTTTGGGCACCCGCTTCACAGACCCGCTTCAAAGCGATAAGAAACACAACCCATCTTGGCAAGAAAAAGAACAAAGACACACAACCAAACCAAGAAGCAAAGCAAAGGAAAACTGTCATATGGACGCGAAGAAAGAGGACGAAACACGCCGCAAAGACCATCCTTCTCTCGTAGCGGGACTCCCCTTGTCATCCTTGTCCAAGTCATCACCATTTGGGTCCCATCCCCAGTCATGGTCGTTCTTTATGGATCTTTATGGCAACCGTTTCCGAAAAGGTCTCCGGCGGCCTGGTGCTCTGGGGCTTGCCTGAAGATTTTTCTGATGGCTGAGGCATGTGTAAAAAAAATTCACCATTTGATAGCAAAGCATAGCAGAACCCCAGCAATCCAAAGTAAAAAGGATGAATCGCTCGACCGTTGGCAAAACCTGTTTGTTGTTCCAGGAAATTCGCCAAAATTCGCCAAAATTGGTTCATCGCTTCGTGGCTGAGCCTTCCAAAGTAGGGCATCCACTGCTGCCTGCGCGTGAGGCTCGTCAGCCTTAGACGAGAAGCTTTCGGAGCTTTTGGATGGCCGATGCCCACAGTCTCACATCAGCAAACTGGATTTCTCTTCCAACTGCAGAGCTTGTGTGCTTAATTGGATTTAATTGGTATGTTGAAGATTGTTGAAGATTGTTGAAGATTGTTGAAGATTGTTGAACTATGATGCATGCGGTTGTGAATGGGGCTCACACCGTAGCATCTATAGCTAAGACAGCTTGGGAAATTGGTTGTGTTCTGAGGCTTGTTGCATGAACTGGATCAAGTATAATAGCTGTTCTGCCCATACGCCCACACCACAACTAACTGCAACATTCTTTGAAGAGCGTCAAGCTTCCAAGAGTACGAAGTCTAGCTTGGCACCAAACTTCCTTTTCTGCAAAGAAACAAGTGCGGACATGAACCAGCCATTGCACACATTATAACCTGGGACCCATTGCTCTTTGGAAATGCCATCATTCCCCTTACATCGTCACTGACATTTTCATGGATTTTCGTCGATTTTTGGGTCCTGAGGCTCCCAACCGGTCGCTTCATCGATGCTCAGCCCACATGCGGGGGCGATTTTTCAAAGCTGAGCGCCGAAGAGTCTCATAGTGAGTCTGTGAGTCTCATCGTGTCACCTTGACATCTGATTGGCCCTGTTTTGTCATGTCATGTTTTGTCCTCACGATCCGTTTTGCAACTGTCTCTTTGGGTTTCGCTGTATGTTTTACCATATGTTTACCATGTCGGGCTGCCAGTGCTATCTTTGGCTGCCCTTGGGACCTTGGGATGGCCCGGATGGTCGGTGTCTCGAGTGTCTCGAATCCACCAAAGGAGATATGACCAGACTAAAGTAACTATGTGTATGTTACTGTTTAAGTTACTGTATGCAGTCTGTATGTTGTGTATGTTGCATTGTGCTAATGCTAGCAGCTGGTAGCAGCTGGTAGCAGCTGGTAGCAGCTGGTAGCTGGCTCTCATAGTGACAAATCTGAGAGCCAATGTTGCACGGACAGGCAAATGAAAAAGACAACATGCAAAGAAGCCAAGAGTACCCAAGTCTGACTGACTGAATCGTTGGAAGAACTTCCAAGCTTCCTTCGAGGACCGTTGAAATGCCATCATTTGAGTTTTCTTTTATTGCTGTTCTCATCTTTTCTCTATTTGTATCAGGGAACCACAGTCCAAATTTGCAACAAATGGGTACCAGGCAAGCATTTGGTTTCCATGTGCGATCTCAGATCAGAGGTCTTCCAATGATCTTCTTACGGAATCCTTCAGCACCACACTGGCAGTGGAGATGGATGGAGATGGGAGCTGACAGTCTGGATCTGGGGGAGACTTCGCCCTGTCGGCCCACATTTTTGGAAGGCGGTGCTAGCACAAGAATTCAATCAGTCTGGTTGCCATCACGGGTGTGCCTCTGCCTGGTGACCAAGGACATCAGAGCCCATCAGAGCTGTTTCTGTTGAAAGCCACGAAAAATCTCAAGGAAAATCCAATTCCAGAAGCCTTCCATGCACATCCTCTCCAAAGAACCAGAGAAGAAAACGTTTGGAAAACCGCTCGATCGTGACATCTCGACACCGAAAACCATCAAAAACCAATCGTCTTGTCGTTTCGTTTCGCTCGACGTTAGCACCTTGGCCGAGCTCCTGGCTCCTTGGCACAGCAGTGAACCCTACACACGGTGGCTCTAACGTCATGCGACACACACTGTGTATCCTTGAAACACATTTGGCAGTGTGTCAAAACCTTGTACCCCTTCTGTTCACATCAAAATAGCTGGTAAATGGATGTTCATCCCACTAAAAATGGTATTAATAGGTATTGATCCATACCCATTTGGATATTTGATGATATTTGGGGGTTTCTCAAAATGGATCACCAAGTCACCATAGCTTTACTAAACTGATCTAGTTTGGATGATCGGTGGAACCGCTGAAGCCGCTGCCTGTACCGTCTCCATCATCTCCTCACTTTCCTCCCCGGCGATGCCCAAACTGTTGTGGTCATCGGTGCTCTCCTGCCACGTGCCATGGCCATGAGAACATCTTTCTGTCTATCTACGAATGTAAGGTATGAAATGTAATGAAATTAGAGTGTATGTAATGGTATGTACTGGAATGTACTGGTATATCATGCGATGTTATGGTATGTCATGGTGTGTCGTGGTATGTCGTGTTTTTTTTCTGGTATGACGTTAGGCAGTGCCAGCGCAGACGTCCCTGTCTCCTGGCTCCAAACCTCTTCGTCAGCAATGGCTGGCTCCGTGTAGTCAGGCCTCACACAATTTGGCACAACTTGCACGACAACCTTAGACTTAACTGGAAGCGAGTAACTCGCTTGAAATAAAAGATGCTAGCCGGCTCCAACTTGATGCTGAATATGTATGAATGAATGAATGACTGAGTGAGTGAATGAATGTCCTACATTTGATGTATTTTGATATAAAAAAAATCCAAAGTCAACAAAGATGAAACTCTACCAAACTGCTCCACTGTCACGCGCAAGGCCCAGTCTCAGGGGCAGAGGGAAATGGAAACGGCCATGTCCACCTCCACACCGTGGCGGAAATGGTTTTCAAATGTTTTCAATACAACTAGATTCGTTTTGTCTCCTCAAACGGATACGATATGTCACCGGGTGTCTTGGGATGCCCTGGACATGTCGACAGATGTCGACAGGGAACTTGATCGCACTATGAATCCAATGTGTTGACATGTCAACAAATGTTGCTTCCGTTCCGATTGCAGTTTTTTTTCCAGATGTTGTTTTCTCCTCATGCTGCCAAAACAATCTCGCGAAAATGGTGCACAGCAAAATCCAACAAGTGTCCCAAAGGGTGCATAACCTAAGTGACCCTTTGAAAATAATATCATCAGACCATATCAGACCGCTGTATCGTCAGTTGAAGTTCAATCACATTGTTCAAACATTTTGAAACAGTTTTTCCATGTCTCCATGGTTTTGAAACAGTTTTTTCCATGGAAAATTCTCTGTCGGAAAGCCATGGCTTTCCGATGGCGTAAAAGGCCATGGGATGACATGGGATGACCCATGATGACCCCAGGGGATGACCAGCTTGGCCCGAAGATTGCCATGAAGTGCTCGGTGAAGGACGCCCGCTGCCCATGGGTGCGCTGGTACCTGGCGAAGTTTACACAAAAAAAAAGGATCAATATGAAAACACCAAAACGGATACCATGTGGATATGAAAATAAATATGAAAATGAATTGTGAAATAAATATGAAATGAATATGAAATGAATCATGAACTTTCATTGATTTTGTTTCAGCACACAATGCTCGAAGTAGCAACATAGTAGGGGATCCTTGCATCTGAAAGGCCTCAGTCATGCCTGCCATGCCTAACTCAGATCAGGGCACGTTTCCACTAATGTGCTATTCATCTGGATGGACTCCACCTGTTCCTGTGATTCCAAGACTGGCTGGCTGCGTCCTAATCTTCGGACTCGAAAAAAATATTCTTCCCCAATTCGGCCACAGCTGTGCTGAAAAGATGTGGCGAAATGTCGAAAATGTGGAAAGATAAAAGACGATTAAAGATGATAAAGACACTAAAGATCACTAAAGTACATTTAAACAATCATTGAAGTCAATTTGCCAGTCTTGTTGCAAGACTTTGCCGTGCTGTGCGCCTGGAGAAAGTCACTTACAAAGAGCACGGCTGCAAAGCACTCGACAGCGACAAGTCCACAGCCTTACGCTCGAAACGCTGGTCGCTTGAAAGAAATTGAATGTCAAACTTGTCAAACTCTTACTAACCTCAGATGGTAAGACAATCTCAAATATTTCTAGGCAAAGTGTTTTCAATCAAAGCTGCATGAAAGTTGACACGAAAGAAATGTCGCGTCAGCTGGTTTTATTCGTTGCCTATCCATTTTCCAACACGTTGGAACGATATCTTTGAAAGATTTTGGAAGTGGCAAAGAGTAGTCGCCTTGTCGCCTTGTCGCCTTGTCGTTTCCATCCGATCTCCGCGCTGAGATCGCTGCAAATGAGTGAAGCGCTTCCCGGAGGAGGCGCATCAGACCACGAGCTTTGGCTCTGAGCGCACCATGCGCGTGCCATGGACATGAACAAAGCTGAACAAAGCAGGACTTCACATTGCAATTGCAGGATTATTTGTTAAAATCACTAAAACATATTTAACATTTTTAAACTCATTGAAGATCTCAAAGTCTCAAAGAATCGGCCCTGTTAGAGTGCTGAACAGGCTGAACACCTGGACCTGGACCCGCCTCTACAAACCTCTGGGAATCGGAATCGGACGATTTTGGCATCCCGGCCCAGAGCCAGTAGAAGACACCCGCTGCCAAGAGAAGCAACGTGAACACTGCGCTACTGCAGGTGTAAACTGCGGCGCGGGTGCCACGGGTACCACGGATGCGACACAAATTGAATCATGAAGCAAGGCGAAGGCCACAAAAAAACTTGTATTAGAATATGGCTGGATAACGATGGATAACATGATTAACTGTCATAAAGTGTTGATTTGAACTGACTGGAACGGATTTCACTTTAAAAGTATTAAGAGATATTTTTAGAGTTGTTGCTTTTTTTCGAATTTCAAATTTTGGCTCGGCGTTGAGCTTGGTTTCCCAAAGAGCGTATCTTGGTTTCGGTTGTTTCGAAACTCCGACCAGCTAAATGTCAAGACTGCAAGACGTATAAATATGGGTACGTATGAATGCATGTGTACAACATGCTGAAGTATTCCTCATATGTACAAGTATGGCATGTGTATGTCTAAGAATAATATGCATAGACTACCAACCACTCAAAACCAACCTTGTTCTTGGAAGATGAGAGGAGCCTACCGTACTTTTTCTCATGTCCTGGTCTACAGTCTACAACTTGACGTTCTTTTCTAGTATCCTTTTTCTAGTATCGGAAACTGCAACCAAATGTACTGAGGACCATCAAAGAGAAGCATACCAGGGATATCTGGTTTCTCCAAACATGGACCGCCAAACCGCTTGAAAGCATTGAGTTTGGCTCGTTTTGACCTCAAGAAACCGAAACTTAAATATGAAAGCATGAACAATCTTTAAACGTCTTTTGGTTGTATCAACCGAACGACTTTGTTCTTAACAATTTGACGTTCTTGATTCTTACACTAAGAGCAAAAAAGTTTGAGAACAAAAAGATTCAAAAACATACCACATGTCTTTATCTTCCTCGAGCTTGTTGTTTTGCCCAACTGTTTTGACCCAGGAATTTCCAGGGGCCTTCAGGAACTGTCAGTTTCTTTCGCTCAGTGAAGTGAACGGAGGTTCGATAAAATGAAGGGCAATAGTGGATCAGTCAATAACTAAATCATACTAAATCAATAAATGGATAACCAATAGATAGATAGATGAATGGATGGATGTATAGATAGCAGAAATTGTCACTCGGAAACATGTGTATTCAGGATTCAAGATACGGTAGAATGTCCTCATTCGAAGGACTGGCACTCAAGGTTCACGATTTGGAACTGATTCTGGGAATCCTGAATTCTTATGAATTCTTAATCTTGAATCCATGGAATGCTCCTAGGACCCTGAATGTTTGAATCAATTACTTGACTTGTTCCTACACCCAGAAACGTCACTTTGTGCATGTCCGAGCCACGCAAAATTAAGTGTATTTCCACTTGACTTTGTGAATGAGGTGCATCTTCTGTCGCTTCAAATATCTCTTCAGTGCTCGACATATCTATTTATATCTATCTATCTCTATATATGTGTGTGTGTATTTCGGGATACGTTGGTTAAGTGCCCCACGTTTCAGATTCTCACAGAATCTAAGAGAATAATACCAATCCAAAATTTCTCCATACCCCATCCCTCGACCGCTCAAAACCATTAGATGCGTACAAGCACAAATTACACTGTATATAAAGGGGACTTAACCCAAGTACACCAATGTATTTGTACATATAAAGATAGATTATATCTGATTGTATATTGATTACACGATATTATATGGTGCATGAAGTATGTAGTGGAATTGCAGATGTATGTGGTGGCATTATTTACAGGAATTCTGCACCCTAGTTAAAGACATAGTGTTTTTTCGCGCAGAGCTCTTGTGAAAGAACACTTGTTCCAAGGAATGAACACACCATCTTTTAAGGAACACTTAGATACTTGACCTGTTTGAAGATACCGCTTTCGTTAACGTGCAAAAAAAATCCTGAGACAACAAGTTGTGTAACGTTGAAAAGCCCGACTGGCAAAAAGGCTGTGCAGCAACATGCAGCAATGCAGCAACATGCTTCAAGGCCTGGCCCTGCAGGACACTTCAGGACCCATACATAAAAGGTGTCACTAAATAAGAACATCATGAACATCATGGTGCCATGGCTGAAGGTTTCCTAATGGCTGACCCCCCGCATCCAGTCGTCATGGATGACCAATGAAATGTATTGAAACCTATGGTGACTTGGGGATTCTCCATTTCAAGAAACTCCCATATCTACATTGGTAAATTAGTGACCATATCAACTTTCAAATTGTATTGAATACGACAAATTTCAATGTGGTCTCATACAACAACATATATAACACTATAACATACATCAGTATAAAGACCATGCTTCACAGTATCTACTTGTGCTCGACTTGTTTAATACTGAGAATATGAGAGAAACGCCTAGACCTTCTATGGTACAATAAGGGCAATGACAGAAGAGGCAAAAGGATGTCAACACAAAGTGGAAACCCATATATTCATCCCATATTCATCCATATTCACCTGAATGGGATCGGGCACTCGGGCCTAGAAAGAGGATGAAGAGTTTCTGGTTGGAGAGGCCGACACAATTGTTGATCCATGGACAATGGTGGTCCTGCAGAGTACCAGGAGATCACAACCAGCGACAAATGGTGTCCATTCCTAAAGGAAGCGGTTGAAAAACATCGCTATCATTGGCTATACAGTTTGAAAAACATAGCTATCAGCTATCATCATAGCTATCATGTAATGAAGAAGCCGCTTCTACAGGGCCGTCCATGCGAAAGATGCAGCGACGGCACCTGACCAGTTGCCAGAGTCACGCTCTGGATGTAACATCTGGAGGTGTCCATTTTCTCGGGTACCCCAGAATTGATGGTTTATTTCATGAAGAAACCCATCTATAAATGGATGATGACTGGGGGTACCCCATAATATAGGAAACCCCCAAAAAAGAGACTGATGAACATGTTTTTTATTTTGGACACAGAAGGAAATGAGCTTGGACATGACCAACAAAACACGACAGTATCAATTTACATCAATTTACACACTTCTTGCGAGAAGTGTGCAAAGCAAAGAACATTTGAAAAGGGGAATGAGCTCAGATTCATTGTTTGGCAAGAGCTACAGCATGCTACAGCTTAAATATGCTTAGATCATGCTACAGTTCGCCATGTGTTGCAACTTGGTTCCAAAGATTGTCAAAGTAATGGCAGTGTGAGAGTCCGGCGTCTTGCAATGATGCGCTCGAGGCGGCTTCCACCGGCCCTGACATGTGCACGCAGCATGTGCATTCCAAAGCTGAGCTCTCAAGTTGGGAGCAAGGGCAACCAAACGGTAAGCTGGTCAAACGCAAACCTGGATGAAACCTGTATGCAACCTGGATGAAACCTGGAATTCAGAGAACTTCAAAGCGGAGACCCCACCTGGCAGAGTTTGCAGTGCCGCGCGTTGCTAAAGCCGTCAGGCGCCGAACTGCACACAGAACTTTGATGAAACGTCAGCTGGACAAAAAATCGATTTTGGTTCACAGCGCCTCATTAAAACATCCAAAAATCCAAGCTGGACACAGAAATGACCACACTTTGCTCATCGCTGTCTCAAATTGGCCGACACATGCCGACCCGTTGCCTCAATGAAATCGTGCCCGGGTCAGTGGTCACAGCCCGCACGTGCGAGACCCTTAGCAATCTGGCCGTCTGGCTTTTGCCAAGCCCTTCAAGCTGGCGTCCAATCTTGACAGCAACTTGTCAAGTTGCCCTTCAAGCGCTGCTAAGCTGAGGATAGCAAACAGCGCGCAATCAAGAACGATTGGGACACAGAGCAGTGTTTGTTTTTTGGCAGTTGCAATTCTGCAGCAATTCTGCAGCAATTCTGCAATGACACGGTTGACGCTTCTCATGTGAAAGGACATGTTTCTTGCCATTGCTATGTCGCCAAATATTGCTACTTGTTGCTAAGACATCCAGGTGCCGGCTATCCCACCAGCAATGACTCTCAATCCCTGAGGTCTCGGGCAGTGATAACATCAAGAGCAACTGATACCTTGGATGTCGCTGTGTCAAAGATACATCTATATATATATACATGCTCAGATATACCAGATATATAAACCTGTATGTATACATATGTATATATATATATGATTCTATATGTATAGGTGTATATATATATATACTTTGTATATTTCAGTATGCTAGAATCCTGGTTCTGCTTGGATTGGCTGCTCTGTCTGCTGCTTGCAAAGCAGGTAGCCCAAGTCCGTTTAGAACTTTCACAAACGATATTGATTCATCTTGGGACCTCTCCGTGAACCTAAGCTCCAGACAAGGCCATGAGAAAAAGGCCTAGATCAGTAAATGGAACCTGCACAATGTGTGAGCTGAAGGATCAGCACAGAGTCTGCACGCCGTCAAAGTCTTCATGGCCATGGTCCACCCAGATGAAAAGAGTCATCGGAAGTTTTAAACATCGGCGATCCTGATCAAACAAAAACTATCAAAACTGTTGTCTATGTCTTTTAAAAATGAAACGCATCACACCAACAAGCTTGGCCACGCCGCAAAAAGGCAAGAACCTCCGGAAGCTCAGCCCCAGAACTGCTAGCTTGACTTCTCCATATTGCTTCCACATTGAGACAAGATGCATAAAAGATGCATAAAGTATCAAAAAGTAACAGTCAAAAGATCCGCCGCAATACGGCACTGCACCCATCGAAATCTCGGCCGGCTGGAGGTAAACCAAGCGAACTTGGCGTTGCAGCGACAAAAGGTCGGAAGGACAGAGGATGGAGAAGGATGGAGAAGGATGGAGACTAGAGAAATCCAGAGAAACAATTTGAAACAACTAATATATATATATATAGATATATATATAGATATATATATATATAGATATAGATATGGATATGGATATGTGTGTGTGTTTGTGTTTGAACATTTTTGTGAACATAATATTCTACGTCTATAGGTTTATACGTATGACCATATTTAATACATATTATATATACATATTATATATACAGATAGAGTGACTCATTGCGAAACGATTCTGTCAAGACGATGGAGTCAAGGCATGTCAAGTCCAGAGTCTGCAACAGCTACACCTCTGAGGTATCAGCCAGAACGAAGCGAACCTGGGAGCAACGTGCCAATCCTTCTGGGCTTTGGCAATTGGATCACAGCCAAAGTTTGAAGCGAAAAGCTGGAGAATGCCAAACGAGAGCCATTTTTGACACATGAGAATTTTTGACCATAAGCTCGAAAAAATGGCAAGATACTTTGATTTCTCATGATTACCCAAAGGCTCTCCCTGGTTCTCCCTGGCTCTCGATCTCACATGTCCTGCTTCCCGTTCAGGACCCGTGCCACAATGAAATCCGTGATGACCAGCAGAAGCCAGGTCACTAAAGACAGGGCAATGCCCAAAGCGTCACAATTCACCCTGGCTGAATCTGGCTCTCACAAGGTTCACTGGATTGGTTTAAGGGAAAATTTACAGGAAACCATGGTTTTTACCATCAAATATAGGGTTTTCCTGAAATTTTTCCCATCATCCAATTCTATGAAAGGTGTGACAATCTGACAAAAAGACTCAACTGAATCCAAAAATTAATGAGAAACAACTGCGTGAAACAACATGAAACAACGCTGCGTATTACGACGTGAAACAACAGGGAGACAAGGGACACCAAATCTCATCTATATCGCTGTATAAATATATAAATAAATATATATATATATATTTATCTATTTATTTATTTATTTATCTATTATTATTATTATATATATAGTACATTATGTATTTGTTCATATATAACATAATATATATATATACATATCATCAGATATATATATATATAATATTATTAAATTATATAATTATATAATATACATTATTAGATATACATATATGGCTGTGTATGATACAGATCGGGGCACGGATATGGGAAGATTTGTGCAGTGCATTGGTCGTCTTCGACGTTTCCCACAACGTTTAAGTTTAAAACATCCGAATTTCACACAACGGTCACAAGGGTCAGTTTCAAAAGTTGCCAAAATCTCCGAATGCCAAACTGTGAACTTTTCAGGCGCTGTCAACACATGCCGCAAGAAACCACATGGGCCCTTTGCCATGTCTCCCATTGGGTCCAAAGCAATGAAGATGTGCACTGCTCCCAGATCGCTTAAAAACTTGTGCTACCACAGATTATGTATTTGAATGTATTTGATTTGTTTTCTGGCTTTGATTTGTAAAATTCTGTTTTGTGTCTGCTTGTTCAACAAAGAATTGGGATTCGTTTCTTGCATTCGGTGCTCAGTGTTGCTTGGAATATGCGCAAGGACAATGACATTAGAACCATGCCTTGCTTCATGGAGGGCTGGGTTTTGGCAGTGTAGCATGCTCATCATTTTCTTGGAAGCTTTACCTAGATATTCCCTAGATATTCCATGATATGCCTACAGTAGATATGCATTTCGGTTGGTGTTGGAGGTGCATGTGTGGTCATGTGTTTCTGTCACAGTCTGGCATGATCGTGCGTTCTGTCCAAACCTCTGAAATAAAGTGCTCCTTGAACATGTTGATGGAGCAGAATCATGTTCAAAGATTTCAAGCCCCATCCTGAAGCTGAGCATGTCGAGAAGAATGTCACAAATCAGACTATGAAGGTCAGCCAGAACTTCACTGCGAAACCATGCGAAGCCGCGTTGCGCGATGCAAAACGGCTCTGTTCGAAGACTTTTCCCAGCTTTTCTTTTTTAAGGATCTTTGCTCAGCTCTTTTCAGCATGGAGCCACGGTGTCCCGGGCGACTCACATTGACGGTTCTCATCCCATGAATGACTTGTCTATTACTCACACTACCCGTTCTATTTCTCACTCGTGTTTGCTCGTGTTTCATGAGACATAATAGTTCATAATGTATCATAATGTAATGTTATATGATTCATATATTATATGTATATATATAATTATATATATATATGATTCATATAATTCATATAAACATGATTCATATTACGACCCCATTCATCGCAAAGACACTTGTTTAGATTTGTTTAGCCTGTTTAGCCCCTTGGGCCCCTTGGGCCGCTTGGGCCGCTTGGTTCTCTCAAGCATTCACCACTTTGCCGTAAAAAATGCCCTTGAGCAGGACAGTCCTGGCACATTCAACTCATCCCGCAGAACATGGCTTCGCCAAGATCAACATAGATCAAGTACCAACAAAAAGCAAACATAAAACAGATGTCACTATTGTCGTTTCAAAAACAAAGGAGATATCCCGATACCCATGACAATGACGCATCAGCTACTCCAAATGTTTGAAGAAAAATTCCTTCATCGTGTAGTCCTAGCAGTTCCTTCACTCTCCACTCACCCGTCAGTCTTTGGCTCTTTGGCACCCATGTCGGTGTCAGAAGGTTGCTTGGAGACAAAGACACCGCCAATCTCGCCCAACTCTTGGTTCACCTAAAGGCTTGTAAAATGCAATTTCAGAACATCAGAACTTCACAGAACATCCGAACATCAGAACAAGTTCAATTTCTGCAGCAAAGTGATTGGGAGCATCCAAGAAGAAATGACATCGTGAAGACTGACCTGAAGGTGACCCAAGCCTTGTTCACTTCCATCTCGATGGCACCTCTTCCGACGTCGAACACCTTGTTGGTCTCCTTGAAGATGTCCTCCTGACCGCTCTTGCCGTCAGCCTGCATTGCAGGCAGTGCAACAGCCTGATCGTAACCCAAGTTCATGCCGCGGGCTTTGGGGTCAAGGAAACCTCCTGTACGGTAGGAAGGCACGCTGAACTCACCACCCCAAGTGAAGCCTGGCTTGAAAGAGCTGCCCTCACCCTTGGCGACCAATTCCTTCACGGTGAAAAGGAAAGGGACGTACTCACCATCTGGCAACTTCACAGTAGTGGCTGCGAAGTCCATGCCATCCTGTTCCTTGAAGGTGATTGGGTTAGGATCCAAGTTGCCCTCAATGAAGGCCAGGGTGTAGGTCTGACGAGTGGTCAACTTGGTGGTGGCAAACTCCTTGCCATTGTCAGTGTCAATCTCCACTGCGAAGGACTTTGGCTCGAAGCACACGTTGATCATCTTGGAACCAGGCTTCACAGGAACCTCAGTACCATTGGATTCCACGGTAGGGCAACGGTTGGGCAAGCCAGATCCCCTCACCTGAGCATAGGTGAGCTGGCTGAACTGCTCGGCAGTGATTGCCTTGGCAGGCTGGGCGGCCACAAGGCCGAAGATCACACCCAAAGCAGCACCAAAGCTCAAGAGAGGTGCAGCCCAAGAGTAGCTCTGGCTCTCGCTCTGCGTTGGTGCTGCTCCCAGAGAATCCACATGGTTTGGGGTCGTTGGTGCGCGGGGTGGCTGTGTGGGCACACCAGCAAGGAAGCAGCTTCCAAAGGCTGCTGCAGCAAGCAGCACGCCTACCACTGCACCAGAGCGGGCCATGATGTGGCTCTTACAAAAACTAATGCTAAGCTGCTAGACAATGGATCCTACTTGAAAGGTTGAGCCAAAAATATTTTCGAATTTGAAGCGGCCGCAACACGTGTAGCCATCAACATCCTGTTGACAATCTGGACCCTTGCTGGGGATTCCAGGAAGAAAAGTTCACAGATATGATGTCCGGCGCAAAAAGGTGAACACATTGACGCGAATACAACATGATTATCGAATGACTATCATATATATATATATAAATCATATGTGATATGTGATGATCATATGATTCAGTGATTTTCAGCCACTTGCAACATCTAATCTCTGCTGCTCTCCGTTGTTCGCCCTCTCGGAGTGCTCTACGATACTTCACGCATTCACCACCTTACCGTAGAAGATTCCCTTCAGCAGCACTGTCCTGGCAAAAAAATCAGCACCAAAGACATTCAAAGAACAAGAACCGACCTGGTCAGTGATACGAATCTAGAGATATCATGAGATATCTAGTATCCATATCATCTGCGCATTGCCCTGGAATCGGATTACGCACCTGCCTTGCTTTCAAACTCATATCAATTGGACCTCTATTTTGCCTGTCCAACATGACCCTAGTTCTAGTGATCGACTACTTGGTTGGCCCAGAGCAAATGTTGGTGACCAGCACAATCCGTGCAGAATTTGGCTACAACCACCTTCCATCACCTTCCATCACCTTCCACTCATCCGTCTCTGGTCTGTCTGGTCTCTGTTCCCGCCCGTCAGTCTTTGGCTCTTTGGCACCCATGTCGGTGTCAGAAGGTTGCTTGGAGACAAAGACACCGCCAATCTCGCCCAACTCTTGGTTCACCTAAAGGCTTGCAAAATGCAATTTCAGAACATCAGAACTTCACAGAACATCAGAACATCAGAACATCAGAACAAGTTCAATTTCTGCAGCAAAGTGATTGGGAGCATCCAAGAAGAAATGACATCGTGAAGACTGACTTGAAGGTGACCCAAGCCTTGTTCACTTCCATCTCGATGGCACCTCTTCCGACGTCGAACACCTTGTTGGTCTCCTTGAAGATGTCCTCCTGACCGCTCTTGCCGTCAGCCTGCATTGCAGGCAGTGCAACAGCCTGATCGTAACCCAAGTTCATGCCGCGGGCTTTGGGGTCAAGGAAACCTCCTGTACGGTAGGAAGGCACGCTGAACTCACCACCCCAAGTGAAGCCTGGCTTGAAAGAGCTGCCCTCACCCTTGGCGACCAATTCCTTCACGGTGAAAAGGAAAGGGACGTACTCACCATCTGGCAACTTCACAGTAGTGGCTGCGAAGTCCATGCCATCCTGTTCCTTGAAGGTGATTGGGTTAGGATCCAAGTTGCCCTCAATGAAGGCCAGGGTGTAGGTCTGACGAGTGGTCAACTTGGTGGTGGCAAACTCCTTGCCATTGTCAGTGTCAATCTCCACTGCGAAGGACTTTGGCTCGAAGCACACGTTGATCATCTTGGAACCAGGCTTCACAGGAACCTCAGTACCATTGGATTCCACGGTAGGGCAACGGTTGGCCAAGCCAGATCCCCTCACCTGAGCATAGGTGAGCTGGCTGAACTGCTCGGCAGTGATTGCCTTGGCAGGCTGGGCGGCCACAAGGCCGAAGATCACACCCAAAGCAGCACCAAAGCTCAAGAGAGGTGCAGCCCAAGAGTAGCTCTGGCTCTCGCTCTGCGTTGGTGCTGCTCCCAGAGAATCCACATGGTTTGGGGTCGTTGGTGCGCGGGGTGGCTGTGTGGGCACACCAGCAAGGAAGCAGCTTCCAAAGGCTGCTGCAGCAAGCAGCACGCCTACCACTGCACCAGAGCGGGCCATTTTCCTCGTGCTTCCGAGAATGAGCGATTAAAAACAACTTGGGCCAAAAGGGTTTTGTAATCGTTTGGGAGAGTAAAGACTTCCCTGAATCTTTGATATTTGTTGTCGTTTATGAAGTACACCTGAATAAACGGATGAGTGTTTTGCTGTGTGGCAAAATGTTGCTGAGTATCGCTGAAATTCACCAAGATAAGGAAATGACTCTGGATGTCCCCAGAATTGGAACCTACAAACGATTCCATCAGTGGCTGAGAATCCATGATGTGCAAAGCCATTGAGAAGTGAATGAGCTGTTTTCGCTTTGCACAGAGGCAGGAAGAGAGCATTTTTCGGGCACACACCACACATGAAAATCTCAGTGAGACTGGCTCTCTCAAGCATTCACCACTTTGCCGTAGAAAATGCCCTTCAGAAGAACCGTCCTGGCACAAGCAACAGTTGGATTGGTTGCAACCCTGTGATTTTTCATGACTCCAAAAGTGGCGAAACCGATGGCCTGTTGATGGACATTGAGGTATCAAGTATCATGTGTGGGGCTAACTTGGCAAAACAAGCAGTTGTATACCTCATGTTTCATTAGAATGTCATGTCCTTTCCTTCTGCTTGGAGCTGAAAAAAATGATACCGTGTCCCATTGGAATTAAAAGTCATCGCACCTCTCCAAGGGCTACTAGTGCTGCCGATAAGACAAGAATATTCCGGCTTATTCATCTTGACACAATTATAGTCGACTCTGATGCTCCACAGAGAATGTAAACCAAAGCAAGAATCTACACCGGCAACTACAGCTCTGTTCCCACCCATCAGTCTTTGGCTCTTTGGCACCCATGTCGGTGTCAGAAGGTTGCTTGGAGACAAAGACACCACCAATCTCGCCCAACTCTTGGTTCACCTAAAGGCTTGCAAAATGCAGTTTCAGAACATCAGAACTTCACAGAACATCAGAACATCAAAACATCAGAACAAGTTCAATTTCTGCAGCAAAGTGATTGGGAGCATCCAAGAAGAAATGACATCGTGAAGACTGACTTGAAGGTGACCCAAGCCTTGTTCACTTCCATCTCGATGGCACCTCTTCCGACGTCGAACACCTTGTTGGTCTCCTTGAAGATGTCCTCCTGACCGCTCTTGCCGTCAGCCTGCATTGCAGGCAGTGCGACAGCTTGATCGTAACCCAAGTTCATGCCGCGGGCTTTGGGGTCAAGGAAACCTCCTGTACGGTAGGAAGGCACGCTGAACTCACCACCCCAAGTAAAGCCTGGCTTGAAAGAGCTGCCTTCACCCTTGGCGACCAATTCCTTCACGGTGAAAAGGAAAGGGACGTACTCACCATCTGGCAACTTCACAGTAGTGGCTGCGAAGTCCATGCCATCCTGTTCCTTGAAGGTGATTGGGTTAGGATCCAAGTTGCCCTCAATGAAGGCCAGGGTGTAGGTCTGACGAGTGGTCAACTTGGTGGTAGCAAACTCCTTGCCATTGTCAGTGTCAATCTCCACCGCGAAGGACTTTGGCTCGAAGCACACGTTGATCATCTTGGAACCAGGCTTCACAGGCACCTCAGTACCATTGGATTCAACGGTAGGGCAACGGTTGGCCAAGCCAGATCCCCTCACCTGAGCATAGGTGAGCTGGCTGAACTGCTCGGCAGTGATTGCCTTGGCAGGCTGGGCGGCCACAAGGCCGAAGATCACACCCAAAGCAGCACCAAAGCTCAAGAGAGGTGCAGCCCAAGAGTAGCTCTGGCTCTCGCTCTGCGTTGGTGCTGCTCCCAGAGAATCCACATGGTTTGGGGTCGTTGGTGCGCGGGGTGGCTGTGTGGGCACACCAGCAAGGAAGCAGCTTCCAAAGGCTGCTGCAGCAAGCAGCACGCCTACCACTGCACCAGAGCGGGCCATGCTGTGGCTCTTACAAAAACTATTGGATGCCCGCCAAAAAAATACTTGAGCACAAAAGGCAGAAGTTGGTCCGCAATCCATGAAAATAGGTCAACAGAAGGTTTTCTTTCTTATAGTGCTATAAGTCAATCGCTTTGATAGTGCTATAAGTCAGTCACTGTGAAAAATTGAGACATGTCCAATGGTTTTCTCTCTCTCTCTCTTTCTCTCTCTCTCTCTCTCTCTGGACAGATGATGATCTGCAGGATCAAACATGGTCACTCCATGCAAAAATCTAGGCCTTAGATTATCTTGGTATCAGCTATCGCTCGCGTTTTTGTTCAAGAGACGTCGCTTTGGAGGCGTTCTGACAAGTCCAATGCTCACGCATTGACAACCTTGCCGTAGAAGATGCCCTTCAGCAAAACCGTCCTACCAAGGTCAGGGTGCAAACCAAAAGTCAACCTGTCACATCTCAAGATAGAAATTCAACCCCTAACGTTTGCACTTCAAAAACATGATTGAAAAATATTGAAAACTACAAATGCAGGACTTACGAGTTACGAGACTCCATCCTGTTGCCGCGCCAACCCTGAAGACTGACATTTGTTGCGCAGGTATATTCCACCGGCTTATTCATCTCGACACAAATTATAGTTGACTCTAATGGTCTAAAAAGAGAGTGTAAACCAAAAGCAAAAACGGCACCAAAAACATGAAAAAGTTATGGCATCTATGCCTGCTACTCTAGCTGCATATGAATTCTCTCTTCTCTCTGTTCCCACCCGTCAGTCTTTGGCTCTTTGGCGCCCATGTCGGTGTCAGAAGGTTGCTTGGAGACAAAGACGCCGCCAATCTCGCCCAACTCTTGGTTCACCTAAAGGCTTGTAAAATGCAATTTCAGAACATCAGAACTTCACAGAACATCCGAACATCAGAACAAGTTCAATTTCTGCAGCAAAGTGATTGGGAGCATCCAAGAAGAAATGACATCGTGAAGACTGACCTGAAGGTGACCCAAGCCTTGTTCACTTCCATCTCGATGGCACCTCTTCCGACGTCGAACACCTTGTTGGTCTCCTTGAAGATGTCCTCCTGACCGCTCTTGCCGTCAGCCTGCATTGCAGGCAGTGCGACAGCCTGATCGTAACCCAAGTTCATGCCGCGGGCTTTGGGGTCAAGGAAACCTCCTGTACGGTAGGAAGGCACGCTGAACTCACCACCCCAAGTAAAGCCTGGCTTGAAAGAGCTGCCTTCACCCTTGGCGACCAATTCCTTCACGGTGAAAAGGAAAGGGACGTACTCACCATCTGGCAACTTCACAGTAGTGGCTGCGAAGTCCATGCCATCCTGTTCCTTGAAGGTGATTGGGTTAGGATCCAAGTTGCCCTCAATGAAGGCCAGGGTGTAGGTCTGACGAGTGGTCAACTTGGTGGTGGCAAACTCCTTGCCATTGTCAGTGTCAATCTCCACCGCGAAGGACTTTGGCTCGAAGCACACGTTGATCATCTTGGAACCAGGCTTCACAGGCACCTCAGTACCATTGGATTCAACGGTAGGGCAACGGTTGGCCAAGCCAGATCCCCTCACCTGAGCATAGGTGAGCTGGCTGAACTGCTCGGCAGTGATTGCCTTGGCAGGCTGGGCGGCCACAAGGCCGAAGATCACACCCAAAGCAGCACCAAAGCTCAAGAGAGGTGCAGCCCAAGAGTAGCTCTGGCTCTCGCTCTGCGTTGGTGCTGCTCCCAGAGAATCCACATGGTTTGGGGTCGTTGGTGCGCGGGGTGGCTGTGTGGGCACACCAGCAAGGAAGCAGCTTCCAAAGGCTGCTGCAGCAAGCAGCACGCCTACCACTGCACCAGAGCGGGCCATGCTGTGGCTCTTACAAAAACTATTGGATGCCCGCTAAAAAAATACTTGAGCACAAAAGCAGAAATTTGTCAATCCATTCAAACAGTTCAACACAAGGTTCTCTTTCTTATAGTGCTATAAGTCAGTCACTGTGAAAAATTGAGACATGTCCAATGGTTTTCTCTCTCTCTCTCTTTCTCTCTCTCTCTCTCTCTCTCTCTCTGGACAGATGATGATCTGCAGGATCAAACATGGTCACTCCATGCAAAAATCTAGGCCTTAGATTATCTTGGTATCAGCTATCGCTCGCGTTTTTGTTCAAGAGACGTCGCTTTGGAGGCGTTCTGACAAGTCCAATGCTCACGCATTGACAACCTTGCCGTAGAAGATGCCCTTCAGCAAAACCGTCCTACCAAGGTCAGGGTGCAAACCAAAAGTCAACCTGTCACATCTCAAGATAGAAATTCAACCCCTAACGTTTGCACTTCAAAAACATGATTGAAAAATATTGAAAACTACAAATGCAGGACTTACGAGTTACGAGACTCCATCCTGTTGCCGCGCCAACCCTGAAGACTGACATTTGTTGCGCAGGTATATTCCACCGGCTTATTCATCTCGACACAAATTATAGTTGACTCTGATGGTCTAAAAAGAGAGTGTAAACCAAAAGCAAAAACGGCACCAAAAACATGAAAAAGTTATGGCATCTATGCCTGCTACTCTAGCTGCATATGAATTCTCTCTTCTCTCTGTTCCCACCCGTCAGTCTTTGGCTCTTTGGCGCCCATGTCGGTGTCAGAAGGTTGCTTGGAGACAAAGACACCACCAATCTCGCCCAACTCTTGGTTCACCTAAAGGCTTGTAAAATGCAATTTCAGAACATCAGAACTTCACAGAACATCCGAACATCAGAACAAGTTCAATTTCTGCAGCAAAGTGATTGGGAGCATCCAAGAAGAAATGACATCGTGAAGACTGACCTGAAGGTGACCCAAGCCTTGTTCACTTCCATCTCGATGGCACCTCTTCCGACGTCGAACACCTTGTTGGTCTCCTTGAAGATGTCCTCCTGACCGCTCTTGCCGTCAGCCTGCATTGCAGGCAGTGCGACAGCCTGATCGTAACCCAAGTTCATGCCGCGGGCTTTGGGGTCAAGGAAACCTCCTGTACGGTAGGAAGGCACGCTGAACTCACCACCCCAAGTAAAGCCTGGCTTGAAAGAGCTGCCTTCACCCTTGGCGACCAATTCCTTCACGGTGAAAAGGAAAGGGACGTACTCACCATCTGGCAACTTCACAGTAGTGGCTGCG